CAGTGACAGTTAGAGACATGATCTTCACGGGGAGGAGGCAACATCAGCTCGAGAGAGACAAGAAACAGGAATAGTAAAATACTAATATTGAAAATACATGTCCCTTTTTATCTATGAGGTGTTTGATCAGATTATTTTCATAAGTGTCACAGCTTTTCCTTTAATATCTCAGTTTTCAGGGAACATAAACATGTTTTGCACATTTCACTTTCTTTTTAATTTAAGTCAAGCCAACGTTGTCATATGTCTGGGAAAAGTGTGCGCTCTCGTGCTTGTGAGCAGGTTCTCTTTCTTCTCACGGCACACCTTCACAAAAATTCGACAAAACAGCTGCAAGCACACAACGACATGTGGTTTTAAAATTCTTTCTGCTGAACTTTTAGGGCGTATGACTACCAACGTGTGCCGGCCTCGCTGTCGCCTCTGCCCGTCGGACCCGGTCTGGCCAAGCGATCCCGTTCCTCCTCCTACTCCTCTGGGAACAAACGCAGTCGAGACAGAACCCACTCCAAAAGCTCCAGAGCCCACTCCACAAATTCATCCACAGCCAAGTGTGAGTAATATGAATGGAGTAAACAAAAAAGGTTGCATTAGATGATGCAGGTTCTCTCTGTTAGTGTAAAAACCCTGGCAAGGGGAAATGCTGCTTTACTTTTTTTTTTTTAAACTAATGGTGAATGCAAATCTCAGCCCATCATGTTTTGTCTCTTAGTCACAAACACAATATGCTTTGTGTATTTTACTGAAGCCACTCAACAATCTCTAGATATTGAAGTTCAAACACGTTTTCAACCTCTTTTTTTTGCGATGCCTTTTTGTGTGTTTTTGTGTTCAGAAACAAAAGAAAATTCAGAGCATGCTGGTTTAAAGTGAAACGCCAGCATGCACTATATTCTTTCATATTCACTCTAGTAATTACTTAGCAGTAATAGTTGCACGTTTTGAGGAATACGCTTTTTTTCGTTGTGGCAGAGAGTTAGATGAGATGGTCAATACCTCTCTGGTATCCATCTTCTCATCTAACTCTCTGCAAGAAAGCAAATATGTGCACTTCTCAATATTTCTATCTAATCCCTAAATGGATTTTCAGGTTGTATCATAATTTCCTAATGTCCCTTACATTCTCACCGTCTTCATCCCTGCAGTGGGCATGGAGGAGTTGCAGGTGATTAAAAAGGAGCTGACTCTGATAAAGACACAGATCGATGGGCTGCTCGACAATCTTGACAAAATGGACACAGAGAGGAATGACAGCAAAGGTGAGACTCATTCACAAAGACAGTGGAAGCAGGGAGGGGCGAGATCAGCTGATGGATAATCTATTCACACATCAAAAACATTTTAGGTGGAATCTGGCAATATGCCTCTTTTCTGCTTGATTAGCTCCATCAGTCACAACCCCAATCAGAATTATCCAGGATCGGTGTGGCAGAGGAAACTGGGGGATGGGATCCAACTGCACCAACAGACCTACTCCTATTCTAGCCGACTAACTCGTTATTTGCCTCCACTGATCATTTTTGAAAAGTCGAAGCGAGGCCGCTGTCAAATAGATTGCGGATGTCTGGATTTATGGATGTGAGCAAATTATGGAACATGCTAAACAAACAGTGTGTTTGACGACACTTTCTAAAACAGACATGTGGAAGACACAGATCAGCGTGCAACGAGGGAAGTGCTGCTGCTGCCCTCATGTGGACTTTTGAACAAAATGTTTTTCTCCACCTGCCAACAGCAGCTGAGATTTAGGAAAGGAACAAGACAACACAGTATTATTTCATAGAGACATATACGGTTCTTTGTTTTATAAAGTTCACTTTCACTGATAATCAACTTCGAGATCCAATGTTGAGAAAAGAAAGTGTAAGCCATGTTGCTGCAACAGAATCAATAAAAATGACCTTCAACTTTAGAAAATTCCTGAACTGGTAGATTTCTTTTACGTATTTTAAGGGAAACTCACTACTACAGACCGAGTGACTTGATAAGAAACTTTTGCAGTGCATGAAAATATTTGTCAACAACTTGAGGAAACCCACTGACTGACTTTAACATGGTCCCATTAAGGGATTCCATCCCTGCCTTGAATTCACTGTCTGTCACATGGCTAAATAATGACAATAATAACCCTGTACTGCTGTGATGTTGCTGCTTTTTCCTCTTCCTCTTCTCCTTTTACAAATTATTATTATTGTCTCTTTTGGAAGGTTATTCTTTTGTTTCAATTTATTTTATTTTATTTTATTTTATTTAATAATTTAATATTTCTATCTTATTATATTGTATATAATGTGTATCTTTTTGTTCTATTTTCTTCCCTGTACATGCTGCTGTGATACCAAAATTTCCCTCTTGAGGGATCAATAAAGTATCTATCTATGAAATTTACAAATAGTACATTAAAAACGAAAATAAGTCTTGTCACTCACTGCAATTGTGAGTGCACATATATTCAGCACAGCATGTTTGTTCTAACTTCTTTGACTGGATGGATAGCTCTATTCTTCATATTCATCTATCTCTGGCTCTACTTGCCTGCCTGTCACTATGTCGCTCTGTTGCCTCTCACTTCCCCCTCACCATCCCCTCATCTGTCCTTCATCCTGTCACTCCCACTCTTGTTTTCTGCATCAAGTACAAAGTCAGTGGGAGACGGGTTTTTTGTCTTTTAAGCACAGAAAAAAATGCATTTTCTTCTCCGAAAGGAAACGGGACCTCAGCTCCACGCCTAAACCGCGTGCGTGCCTCTGTGTGTTTCTGCGCTGCAGGATCTCCCCTGAGAGAGGAGAGTCCAGCCGGCTCACTGTACGCTCTGTCTGCCAGCAGCCCCGAGCACTCCCTCTCCTCCCTCTCCCCCCCCAGCTCCCGCCATCGAATCCGCAGAGAGAAACCGGACCTGAGGGGGCCTGATGATGAACACCACACGGTAAATGCACCTGAAGACTGTGTGTTCTGGAATGACGGGGGGTGGGGGGGGGGGGTTCTCTTCAGCTATTGTTGTCCTAAATATAATGCTGCCAACATTTTATGTCTGCTAGGGCCCCATGTTGTGGAATATTTCAATAAAAGCTTGGTAGAAGAGAATGATTTGTCTGATAAAACAGAGTCTTGATGAATGATCAAAGTTGCAAAAAGTCCATTTATTGCTTGCAAGCAGGAGGTCAAATACACAGGCACGTATCACGGTGCTCTGTGGAAATGGCGTCTCCGAGCACTAAAGACGCTGAGTTTTTATACACATGTGAAGAACATTCTCCGTGCCAGTTACGAGAAGCTGCAAAGCAGGTTGAGATAAGAACCCAGGTGAAGCTGAGGGTAGCACACACACACACACAAGATCCTCCTCAGTGGCCGGTGAAAATCATAATTAATTGACATGAAAGTAAAACTTGGATCCTGAACTTTCGTACCGAATAAGATATGAACCAAGGCCATGAACAGAAGTCCTTTGTTTTGAAGCTTCAATGAGATCGAGTCGACTGCACTCCCTTCTCAGGACACAACTGCAAACTAACATTTTGTATCATGCTGCTCTTTGCACATCAGGGTCAAATACAGGACACTTGAGACACTGCTTTAGCACAAAACAATGTTATAACATATTTTTACCATTACACCCATTATGTGGATGATAAAAAAAATAATTTAGAACAATAAGACACAGGAGATTCCATTACTTGTGTTCTAACAAAAGGCTGTTTATACTGACACCTGTCAGATTCACAGATTTCATTATTGTCCATAAGATTAGCGTCAAATGAAAATGTGCTCCTGGAATTTGGCAACACACAAAATACCCAATTTACAAAAAGCACACCCAACAATACGCAACATGTGTGCACCTCAAAGTATTACAGTGACCAAGTGGCGTTAATATAACGATGGCTGAGTGGCTCGTTAATCCACTGGTGTGTCGTCATTTCATTTCGCTTCACTTCAGTTATTGTGAGCTTGCAGTTCAGGAAACGTCTCTTTGTTTTGTCCGTCTGTTACAGATGAGCAACTACAGCTCTGACCCAGAGGAGGGAATATGAGGAAGAACCATGGGAAGACATAGAAGACATGTATTAAGTGCCAAACATGGAGGAGGAGAAGAACAGCCGACACTCAAATTGAACACGCTACATGTATGTTATTGTGTCACAACAGCCTGGTTTCTGTGAGAATACATTCAAGTCTAATTAAAACACTGACACAGTTGACTTATACGCATTAAGTACAAAGATATCCCATTAGTAATGATTTGTAAGGTTGACCTGAGAGAGGACAACTGGATGAACGGTAATTAATTCATCTTTTAATTCCCTAAGGAGGCATTCCTATTTAATTGTAAAAGACGGGCTACACAAATGCGTGTTTTCCAAATAAATCCAAACACTACAGAATGAAGACAAAAAACGAGACACATTTTAAACCTTGTGTTAGTAGTTTAAAAATTGATTCTGTCAGGCAGCAAATGCCAGCATCAGACTGTAAATATGGTAATAATTTAGATTAATAATCTATGTGTCATGTTGCTAGAGGTGCTGCAACATTCTGCTGCTTCACCTGTTTCTCCCAAGAAAGACATTCTTCTATCTTGAATAAGATATCTTAGAAACAACATAGAACCAAGAATATAAATAAAGCTAGGGAACTTAAACACGACGTCATTGACTTACTAAAATATTTCAATTTTCTAAATAATGGTATAATCGCAAAAGCTACTGGAGTTTTACGTGTAATGTAAAAGCAAAACAAAAGAAAGCACTACACTCTCCAACTTGATCTCTTTTTGTTGACGCATAGCTCATCCTTTCCCTTTATTGTATACTTCTAAGATGTGAAAATTAGCTAGACAAAGTTATCAACGGTTATCTTTGAGAGATTGAAGATCATTCAGGTGAAAGGTTGTTTTCTGCTTGTATCAGTATGCTGTAAAATGTGTTGATGAAATGGTACTTCGGTCTTCCATCATGTATTTGGCACTTTTAAGACACACATAATATTGTGTATTATTGTAAACTTTACTGTAATTGTTGAACTGTCTGATTTGAATCTTGCTTTAGGACTTCTCATGTGTTTTTTTTTAAAGAAAACAATTATGTTATTCCTATGGTGTTACATTTCTTTTGTTTGTTCTCCCGATTAGCCAAGTGGAAATACTCAGTCACAGTAGTAAAGGTATTTTCATATTGAGTATAAATACAGTACATGGAAGTGTGTGTGTGTTTTTTAAGAGACCATATGGTCATAGATCCTAAAATGTTCTCACAAATAAATCCAAGTGCATAAATCATATTATGATAGACTGTATGAAACAGGAAGGTTGATTATTGTAATCATAGTCTTGCTTGCAGGAACACAGAGAGCTAGATCACATGATCGTAGGACTCTCTGAATCCAGAACATCGATCTTTCTCTTTGCACGCATGATTCGAGCGAAGGTCAATCGTACCGTCAGGCAGAAATTGAAACACTCCATATTGTGTGTGTGGTTCTGAGGACGGCTGCATTTCCAAGAGTTTTCATGGCAATAGCTTAGTAAATGGACCTTCTGATTAGAATGTTTATAACAGTTCATGACACAGACTTTTTTGACAGTTGTGTCTAAGAAAGACTGAAATATATGGTTGCATTTTCGCATAAAGTAATCCCTAAATGTTTGATCATTTTCTGATATGCTCTATATACTAAAAGCATGTTGTCGTCTTTAGATTAAGAACGTGTACATGAGAATCAAATCCAAATGCAGCTGTATTTATAAATTAAATAATTCAGTAGCCTGATATAACTGTCACCATCTTTTGATGTGTTTAAAGAGCCGTGCCTGTTGGCCACAATTAGCTTTAACAGATCCCACAATCTTTAAATTAAACACTCTGGTTTGAACGCATTAAATTGAGAGGGAGGTAAAGGGAGGTATTATGTGCTCGTCTACGTCTACCTTGGCCTCTGATTATTCCACTTTCGTCATCCATTTCCACGAAGTTCAAAGTGCAGAAACCAAAGTGGCAAAAGGAGCTCTTGCACAACCATTCTTCTGTTGACAGAAAGATAAGCATTTGAGAACTACATGTCTTTCTGAATAGGTCAGTATGCACAATTGCAAGAGGAAAACGTGACAAACATCTGATGCCGTTTAATAAACCATGAAATTACATATTTTCAGTTAAAACCTCTCATCCGGTATAGTCACAGTACACATGAGTGTAAACAGGCTGCAGCAGCTCAAGGGCCATATATTGCCTCAAAATAAGGTAAGCACAAATCTTTTAAAAATGTATTATCCAAAAAACGATTTCATTCATTGGAATAGAAAATTATATTAAACATGTTGTATGGAAGGTTTATTACATTATATAGCTAGTTGACTTAAAGTAAAAAGTAAGATAAGCTACAACAGGAGCAGTCAATAGTACAGTCATGGAAATATATTTGACACAAAAAGCTATTGACTTAATTATTTATCAAATTTGGAATCAACTGATTATATCCAGGATTTCATTCAGCTGTTATTAGTTTGATGAACTATCTGTAGTTGAGGTAACTACATGTCCTTTTAATACAATTATTCTAAGTACATTACCCTTTATACATAATAACTTACAAGATACTTGTACAATTTGCTACTTTTATTTGCAGTGTTTTAAATAGTAAATTCATGGCAGACTTACTATAAACCTGCATTAGAAAAAATAAATCAGTTTTATTATTTTCCAATGCGTTCCCGAATAAATCTCACACCAAATTTCAACTTTTAATGTTTGACAACTTTAAAAGAGCTGTGCTGTATAGAATATAAGATTAAAAGTTAACAACAGACCATTCCAAATCCTGTTACTTTCTTCCAGTTTTCAAAAGGAATTGTGACATTTATTATGTTGTGATCAACAGTGACTTCTTTAGATTTAAGCAGGTCAATTGAAAATCTCGAACTGGTTGTGCAGATCACAGCGATGGCCGGCTCTGCGAGTCCCCTGACCACCCATGTGCTGAACACTGCAACGGGGGTCCCTGGTGCAAACATGACCCTCAGTCTCCATCGACAAGACCCTTTGACTAGTGCATGGAGTTTGATAACCACTGGGTAAAGAGCTGAGAAAAAAATTTTCTTCACAAGAAGAAAATTAAAAATATTAGCAGTCAGTGTATATTTACACTCATATGACTTCATACAGAATCATATTTTGTCTCACCAGAATTACAAATGCTGATGGACGTTGCCCGGGACTCATAACAACACAAATGTTTACATCTGGGGTGTATAGATTGCATTTTGACACTGCTCAGTACTGGCAGAGTATGGAAGAGACCTGCTTCTACCCGTATGTTGAGGTGAGAAGGTCATAGAGGGTTCTCTGACAACATGACCTTCATCTGCCATCCTTAGGTGTAATGCCGTTAACAATCATAGATTTCATTTTTGATATTTTGTTTTGTTTTGCAGATCGTCTTCACTATAAATGACCCAGGGAAAAAGCACCATGTCCCTTTGCTCCTGAGCCGTTTCTCTTACAGTACATACAGAGGGAGCTAGAAGTCAAGTGTGATGTCCCATCGCAGACCGAGGCAACTCCACCAAGAACATCCATCTCTCCACCAGCTGAACTGTCCTATTGACAAATTGATTACACTAATCGATTAATAGACTGTGCTTATTTGGATACCATTATACAACATGCCTATTGAAAATTCTTAATACGCTAACTCTGATTTAATTAACATAACATATTGTATTATGTATATTTCTTTGGTGCTTTAAAATGATTCATAAAATAAATGCATCTGTTTTTTTCAAAACTCGGCACTCACTTTTGTGTTAAATAATATATATATGTTAAAACTGACAAAATATACAATTTTGTGGAACTAATACCATTAAATAAAATATATTTTCATGTTCTCAGCAAGAAGATCCTACTTTGTGTGTTACTTTGTGTGTTACTGTGACGCCTAATAATTCAACAATGTGTCCAGTAGGAGTCCTCACATCCTCGCTTAGCTGATCCTCACTCTGCGCTCGATTGCTTCAGCCTGAGAGTTGGCTCGTTGTTTCCGACTTCGATTACACTCCCCTCAACGAGGAAGGCCCTTGTCTCAGTCGGGAGTTTAGATTGCATTTTATCCCGTTATTTCGTCCCTTTCCAATCTATTAGGTCAATATCGCTGTTGTTAACCGTGGCAGACGACGAATTAGAGGCAATTAGGCGGCAGAGAATGGCGGAACTACAGGCAAAGCACGGGGTAAGAACAAAACGGCAAAGGAAGCGTGTCTGCGCCTTGTAAGGAGAGACTGAGTTCAATTTGCTCCCCGCTAACACAGTGTGCCAAACCAGTTAGTAGAAGTCAACCAGTTTACCTGTCGCTCAGGTGGTTCAGAAAGCCCACTTCTGGAAGCAAAGCACGATGTAGATGGTGTGTAATTAGTCCAGTAGTAAGTAACATGAATCACAGCTATAACCATCACCATCAATGCTAGCCGTTCACACCCCTCTGACAATGACAGCGATAACATCGAACAAGGAGACGTCAAATATCTAAAATTAACTTATTCACCGACGAGATCGACGTGAAGTTGGTCTTTTTTTTATAGATCTGTTAAGTTATGGTATTTCAAATGTTGCCTTGCCATCACACAAGTGCTTTTTAATAGCCACATGATAAACCGAAACATTAGTTAATAGTAGAAGGTAAATAACTTCTAATGTGACCGTCATAAAAAACGTTGTATATGTATACTATACCTAAATAATGATATAGTGGCATCCTATGCAGCTAACATGTGAAAACACACTTCTCAGCAGAAACCACTCGATGAAATCAGTAGGATATTGTTTTATCACGAATATGTTGGTATTGTAGATTGTACCAGATATGTCAAAAACATTGCTGCACTGGTGAGGTCATTTAGAAAGACTGTTATTTTTCTCATTTCAAATCTTTAACCTGGGACACACAGGAGCAGTCAGTGCGTCCAAACATGTGGCTGGTCTGGAAAATCGAGCCAACGGCTGCATTTAAAGTATCTTTGTCCCACAAATAATTATTAGGAGATTTGTTGCTAAGTCAAGCTATGGCTATGAAATGAGCATTCCATGTGGGATTTGTATTAATGAAAAAATAATTTACTATAACAAGAAAGAAGTAGAAAGGTCCCGGACTATTTCCTGCAGTTTATATATTCACAAATTTTATCAAGATGGAGACATGTCTGACTAAATAAATATTTGAAAATAGAAACCAAACTCTTGTACAATTTGCTACTTTTATTTGCAGTGTTTTAAATAGTAAATTCATGGCAGACTTACTATAAACCTGCATTAGAAAAAATAAATCAGTTTTATTATTTTCCAATGCGTTCCCGAATAAATCTCACACCAAATTTCAACTTTTAATGTTTGACAACTTTAAAAGAGCTGTGCTGTATAGAATGTAAGATGAAAAGTTAACAACAGACCATTCCAAATCCTGTTACTTTCTTCTAGTTTTCAAAAGGGATTGTGACATTTATTATGTTGTGGTCAACAGTGACTTCTTTAGATTTAAGCAGGTCAATTGAAAATCTCGAACTGGTTGTGCAGATCACAGCGATGGCCGGCTCTGCGAGTCCCCTGACCACCCATGTGCTGAACACTGCAACGGGGGTCCCTGGTGCAAACATGACCCTCAGTCTCCATCGACAAGACCCTTTGACTAGTGCATGGAGTTTGATAACCACTGGGTAAAGAGCTGAGAAAAAACGTCAATAACCAAATAGCAAATTTTCTTCACAAGAAGAAAATTAAAAATATTAGCAGTCAGTGTATATTTACACTTATATGACTTCATACAGAATCATATTTTGTCTCACCAGAATTACTAATGCTGATGGACGTTGCCCGGGACTCATAACAACACAAATGTTTACATCTGGGGTGTATAGATTGCATTTTGACACTGCTCAGTACTGGCAGAGTATGGAAGAGACCTGCTTCTACCCGTATGTTGAGGTGAGAAGGTCATAGAGGGTTCTGTGACAACATGACCTTCATCTGCCATCCTTAGGTGTAATGCCGTTAACAATCATAGATTTCATTTTTGATATTTTGTTTTGTTTTGCAGATCGTCTTCACTATAAATGACCCAGGAAAAAAGCACCATGTCCCTTTGCTCCTGAGCCGTTTCTCTTACAGTACATACAGAGGGAGCTAGAAGTCAAGTGTGATGTCCCATCGCAGACCGAGGCAACTCCACCAAGAACATCCATCTCTCCACCAGCTGAACTGTCCTATTGACAAATCGATTACACTAATCGATTAATAGACTGTGCTTATTTGGATACCATTATACAACATGCCTATTAAAAATTCGTAATACGCTAACTCTGATTTAATTAACATAACATATTGTATTATGTATATTTCTTTGGTGCTTTAAAATGATTCATAAAATAAATGCATCTGTTTTTTTCAAAACTCGGCACTCACTCACTTTTGTGTTAAATAATATATATATATGTTAAAACTGACAAAATATACCATTTTGTGGAACTAATACCATTAAATAAAATATATTTTCATGTTCTCAGCAAGAAGACCCTACTTTGTGTGTTACTTTGTGTGTTACTGTGACGCCTAATAATTCAACAATGTGTCCAGTAGGAGTCCTCACATCCTCTCTTAGCTGATCCTCACTCTGCGCTCGATTGCTTCAGCCTGAGAGTTGGCTCGTTGTTTCCGACTTCGATTACACTCCCCTCAACGAGGAAGGCCCTTGTCTCAGTCGGGAGTTTAGATTGCATTTTATCCCGTTATTTCGTCCCTTTCCAATCTATTAGGTCAATATCGCTGTTGTTAACCATGGCAGACGACGAATTAGAGGCAATTAGGCGGCAGAGAATGGCGGAACTACAGGCAAAGCACGGGGTAAGAACAAAACGGGAAAGGAAGCGTGTCTGCGGTCGCCTTGTAAGGAGAGACTGAGTTCAGTTTGCTCCCCGCTAACACAGTGTGCCAAACCAGTTAGTAGAAGTCAACCAGTTTACCTGTCGCTCAGGTGGTTCATAAATCCCACTTCTGGAAGCAAAGCACGATGTAGATGGTGTGTAATTAGTCCAGTAGTAAGTAACATGAATCACAGCTATAACCATCACCATCAATGCTAGCCGTTCACACCCCTCTGACAATGACAGCGATAACATCGAACAAGGAGACGTCAAATATCTAAAATTAACTTATTCACCGACGAGATCGACGTGAAGTTGGGCTTTTTTTTATAGATCTGTTAAGTTATGGTATTTCAAATGTTGCCTTGCCATCACACAAGTGCTTTTTATTAGCCACATGATAAACCGAAACATTAGTTAATAGTAGAAGGTAAATAACTTCTAATGTGACCGTCATAAAAAACGTTGTATATGTATACTATACCTAAATAATGATATAGTGGCATCCTATGCAGCTAACATGTGAAAACACACTTCTCAGCAGAAACCACTCGATGAAATCAGTAGGATATTGTTTTATCACGAATATGTTGGTATTGTAGATTGTACCAGATATGTCAAAAACATTGCTGCACTGGTGAGGTCATTTAGAAAGACTGTTATTTTTCTCATTTCAAATCTTTAACCTGGGACACACAGGAGCAGTCAGTGCGTCCAAACATGTGGCTGGTCTGGAAAATAGAGCCAACGGCTGCATTCAAAGTATCTTTGTCCCACAAATAATTATTAAGAAGATTAGTTGCTGAGTCAAGCTATGGCTATGAAATGAGCATTCCATGTGGGATTTGTATTAATGAAAAAATAATTTACTATAACAGAAGAAAGAAGTAGAAAGGTCCCGGACTATTTCCTGCAGTTTATATATTTACAAATTTTATCAAGATGGAGACATGTCTGACTAAATAAATATTTGAAAATAGAAACCAAACTCTTCAAATAATAAAAAAAAATCAACCATTTAGAAACTTTTTAATGAAGCAGATAAGATGGGAGGTATCTTGGATACCAAAATACATTGTTTAATAAAATGGAACAGTTGTTGGACATCAATGAAGCTGCAAATGAATGAATGCAAATAAAAACGGTAGACCATAGAAATATATTCCCTAATTCTACATCTGCCAGTTAGCTGGATGCAGAGATACAACCCATATGTGACAGTGCTCTCTAACCTTTTCTTTAAGGATTCTTCTAATAATCAGCAGCAAGGGGAGGAGGCCAAACAAAGGTAAGAGGTGTTCACTTAAACACATGTGCACTTAAAGATCAAATGCACTCAATTAACTACACACTATTGTGAGATGATAGCAATTACTGAGTCTCAATACATGAAAGTAAAGTTAATAGTTAACATGATAACTGTGTAACTGAGCTGATGATGTGATGGCCTGACAGTTTAAAAGAAGCATTTTTCTGTTTTCATTTCACTGTTCTCAGTCCCTTGACTCAGACGATGGTACGTAGTGCTGATGTGGTAATGTTTCTTCTTTTCACAGAGAAAAAGACATGAGGAACTCTATTTTGGCTCAAGTTCTCGACCAGTCTGCCAGGGCCAGACGTAAGTGTACTAAGAGATTTATTTGGCCTATTGAGGGGAATCCATTTGAAAATGAATCAAGCCCTTGAAGAACCAAAGGCTATTATTAATACCAGCTGACAGCTTGGCCTCCGGTACTGCTGCTCATAAGTCACTCAAAAACTGCTAATTCAAGCAACTTCACACTCAACACGTTGCTTCCTTGGGTCCTGATCATTTCACCCTCAGTTATATAGTTGCACCCTCTAGCAACGCTTGAGACAACACTTTGCTTTGGCACGAAAGGTCACTCAAGTATTGTCGGAGAGCAAAGTGTCGCTACAGGCCTTTGGCAGTGTAAAAGTTAAGAGGGGACATGTTTTGATTGACTACACAGTGTATGGATGACGCACTAGTAATAATGTTCCGTGGAATAAAGCTCAAGAGTGATACACTTACCAAGTATCAAGTTAATTGAATGAATGTTTTCTGAGAAAATAGAACAAGCACACGTAGACTCCTTCCATTTCAGTGAGATGTATTTATTTGGCATCAAAATTGAAAATTAAATAATATTACAAATAATGAGGGGGAAAAAAAACAGTATAAAACCTTTTCTAAGAAGCACGATGACACTGTAACCAAGTCACCACCAGCATGCCAGTTCTTACATGTTGCAGAAAATAGAGAGTGCGTCCAATTCACTCGATTTTAAATGTCCAACATGATTCACCCAAGAAATGTGAGGCACCTTTTGAGTAGGGAAAAAAAAAAGAAAAGGTCTGATGGTGCTTTGAAACTGTATTGTGTGATGAAAAGGTTGTGATGAGCATCAATAAATGCCACTCAAGTGTGAAATTCAGATGGTGAAATGTTCCTTTTTCAGTGAGCAACCTTGCTATGGTGAAGCCGGAGAAGGCCAGCGCAGTTGAAAACTATCTCATTCAAATGGCTCGTTTTGGATCTTTGGGAGGAAAGGTTAGGACGTTTACCTTTTGATGCTTGACTACAGATGTGTTGATATTATTCCTCGTGCCAAAAATGTGACCAGCAGATTTCTTCTTTGTACAGATTTCGGAGTCAGGCTTGATCGAGATTCTAGAAAAAGTGAGTCAGCAAACAGAGAAGAAGACGACAGTCAAAGTAAGATCCAATGAAATGTCACTTGGGTTTGAGTCATTGTCGGTCACTCGTCCGTCTCACATCCTTGTGCTCTGTGCTTGTCAGTTCGACAGGCGTAGGGTGATGGACTCGGATGATGATGAAGATGATTACTAACTTTTAATGGGAACCGCCAAGATATCTGGAGAGGATTTGCTTCACTGAGACTCTGACAACATCCATGACCTGTTTACTGAATCCTGGTGTGCCACACAGACGTCGGCGTGTCTCTGGAAACTACATCACCAGGAGGGAAGAACAAAGTGGAGTTGACCTTGTGGCGTAAGAGTTGGGGGTTATAACACTCGCCGTCAAATAGGATGTTCTTTTGTGATCTCTTTTCAATTAAGTTAGCTACAAATTTGCTCTGCTTGTGTCGCACCCCCGACAGTTACACCGGTTGGCTCCTCTAGTTCCTCTCTATAGTCACCTTTTCCCTTTACTTTTATCGTGTTTGACTTTGGTTTTTCAATCACAAGAAGACAGATAAAATACAAACCGTTTTATCCAGATTGTTCAAAGCCTTTTTCAGTTTTTTTAGGGCCAGCATCAGTTTAAGTTCTGTTGTTGCACTTTGATATTTTCATTTTGCTGACATGTTTAAAGGTTTACATTAAAAAAGAAAAGAAAAAGTCTTACATTTGAATTTTTGTTTTTCTATTGAATCCCTTTTATCATCTTTTTATAAATGCCTATTTCTTCTTAACAAGCATTTACAGGTGGCTAAATGTTCCCAACTAGAATAGCTTATTTGGAAGTAACAAAAACACACAAAATTCATTGTTTTGCAAAATGGAAGAAGAGTATTTGCCGATCCTAAAATAATAAGAGTTACCTTGTCACCGTTAGTGGAACAACTCTTTCCACTCTTTAAGTATAAAAAAGCTCATGACAAAAGTAATTTTCTTGCTCATATTCTTATAGTCTTTTTTATATTAATATATTGAAATCAAATGCGTGCACAATTTGATTTTTTAACATGTAGTGGAGTTAAATTGTGTAATGTCTTCGAAATACTAGTTTCAATAGAAGTACTACAAGTACAATTACATACACATTGCACTAATAGTACCTCGTTTAATTTTTTTAAATATGTTCTCATCTTACCACTGCTTTTTATACACAAGTTCAATATCTTAAGATGGTTACATTTGTTTTGTATTTATAATCATTTACTTTCTGGACCGCTGAATGGATTTGTCCTCATTGTGAGACACTGCTGTGGGACGGTCTCTCCCCATCATTGCACGACCGTGGTCAGATAATCTCTCATTGGCTCGTCCGAATGTTCGATTAAACTGGCTCGACGCTGATTGGTCGCAGCGTTAGCCACGTGTTCAAGACCAGCCAACCGGAGGCCACCAAGCGGAAATGCTACAGTAATGCTATAACACTAGCTTAACAGTAAGTGCTAAACACCGGAGCAGTCTAGTAAAGTACGGTTAGAGGTAGACACCGAGAATTGTAGCATTAGAAACGAGTTATACATTGGGAAAGTATGGAGAAGCCAAACACAGTTACATGCACCGCGCCTGTGAATATAGCGGTCATTAAATACTGTAAGTATCTCCTCGGTTAAGTATCCTTCTGTAATAACTTCTTCCTAAATACGATACATGCTTTTCCGGTGTGCTAACTTGTGCAGACTAGAAACACAAGGGTTTGGATTTAGTGTCACGCATTTCAATATTGTTTCACCTTGTTTAAAACTCACTTTCCAGGGGGCAAGCGAAATGAAGAATTAATTCTACCCATTAACTCATCATTGAGCGTCACACTGCACCAAGACCAGGTATTGTACCTTTACCTGCGTAGCAACAAGTCAGATGGAGATGCAAACCTGCTCACCTCACAAACACCCCGATAGAAAATATTAATTCATTCATTCTGCTTCGCATAACATGTTTATCACCGGGTAGTTTCAGTCAAGGTGATTACTCATGAAATAATAAAATACATTTGTTCTATTTAATGCATTGTGACCAGAAAGACATTTTACTAAAATGCACCCAGAGGTGCTACATTGATGGTGTCGCGGATTAGTTGCAAACATTGAAACTTGCATACTCTAATCTGGCTTTAGTGATACAACAGCTACAATTTCATCTGTTCAGCTGAAAACTACCACAACAGTGGCAACCAGCAGGTCATTTCAGGAGGATCGAATATGGCTAAATGGCAAAGAAGAGGACATAACCCATCCTCGACTACAGTCGTGTCTGAGAGAAAGTGAGTGCTTTCTTTTAGTTCCTCTTAAAAAAGAAAAAGCACAGCCTGAGCTACAGAAACAGCAGGCCACCATGTTATTGTGTCCTGTGTTCTGTATTTAGTTCGACGACTTGCAAGGAAGAGAAGTAAGGACGGGGACCGTGCTTTGGATTCGATGAGATTGTCTCACAAAGTCCACATCTGCTCGGTTAACGACTTCCCCACCGCCGCCGGCCTCGCCTCCTCCGCTGCAGGATTTGCTTGTCTAGGTGTGTGTGTGTGTTTGCTACAGGTTTTCATCTTAGGGTAAGAACCATGTATCCTGTGTGTGGCCATTCTTCAATAAACCGTGTCGATCTGACATTTGACACATTTCCCTTCAACGCCGTGTTCTCCCCTGCTCCCTCTGTGTTGTTGTAGTTTACACTCTTGCCCAGGTGTTTGGCGTGGAGGGCGAGTTGTCTGAGATTGCTCGGCAAGGCTCCGGGAGCGCATGCCGAAGTATGTATGGAGGGTTTGTCCAGTGGATCATGGGAGAGGAGGACAATGGCAAGGACAGTCTGGCCCAGCAGGTGGCACCAGAGACTCATTGGCCTGAGCTCAGAGTCCTGGTATTAGTGGTAGGTCAATTTGAGTGTTTTCTTAGAGAGACTGACAGAATGATGTGACGTTTAATCCTGGCCCTTTTGTGGAAGTCAGATGTTTTTTTTATTTTTATTAATGAACGTTTTTTCTTAGGCCAGCGCGGAGAGGAAGCCAGTGGGCAGCACCTCTGGGATGCAGACCAGTGTACAAACAAGCCGTCTCTTAAAGGTACTCCCATTAACTCACAGTTATTCAGTGTTTTAACACGTCAAGCTGCTTAGTTTATAATGCTTTAAAAGCAAACTTCCTTTTGACTCACAAGACAGCCCATGTTCATCTTTTCCTTGTGCAGCACCGAGCCGAGTCTGTGGTCCCCGGCCGGATGGAAGAGATGATTGAAGCCGTGCAAAGAAAGGACTTTGCTGCATTTGCTGATCTAACGATGAAGGACAGCAACCAGTTCCACGCAACCTGCCTTGACACATACCCACCCATCTTTTACCTCAACAGTGTGTCTCAACAAGTTATCAATTTGGTGCATCGGTATAACAGACACTACAAGGAGACACGGGTAAGGAAGTTTCTGAGAAAGAGCAGAAAAATATTCATGTAGTCCTCTTCCTGGTTGGGTTTCACAGCTGTGTACTCAAAAGAAATACTTAATTATTACATGAAAATAAAGAAAGTCAAATATTAACTTTTATGAGTTAATTAATTGAGTCTGCATAATAGAATACATAAATAAATGGAAAAATGGAGCTGCGTAATCTGTGTAAATATCAATAATCTAAAATATCAGTTAGCAGTACATGATTTGTAGTTAATGGGGCGAACACACACAAATGACAAATCTACTCAGATATTCAGATCATTTGTCTGTGGCAGTCTCTCTCTTGTACTAAATACATTATTTGGAACTGTAGCCTCATCCCTTTCACATCGCTTTGCCTCGGGCTCATGCTGCTGTATTTCTGAGATGGTGTAATGAAGATGTGAAACTTGTGGGGTGGTTTTCACACTCTTTGAATGACGGTTACAGTCTCCTTGTTCCCCTCTAGTTGGCCTACACGTTTGACGCGGGACCCAACGCTGTGATCTACACGCTACAGCAGCATGTTCCTGAGTTTGTTCAGACAGTTCAACATTTCTTCCCCCCAGAGACCAATGGAGGAGAGTGAGTTGAAAGTTACTATTACCGAAAAGACGACTCAATTTATCTGAAAACATAATTTATATACATAAACTACCGTATTTTCTGCACTCCAAGGCGCACTTAAAAGCCTTTAATTTTCTCAAAAAACGACAGTACGCCTTGTAATCCGGAGTGCCTTATGTATGGATCAATTGGTTAATTGGTTAAACCATACTGGTTGTACACGGCGCTCAGCCGAACACGCCAAAGCACCTCGCAGCATCGATCGGACCCTGAAAGCACCGTCTCCACCCCCCCCCCCCATCCACCCGCCCCCGACGTCAAACGTTTGACTGCAGTATCTTATGCGCCTTACAATCCGGGGTGCGCCCTATATATGAAAAATGTTCTAAAATAGGTCATTCATTGAAGGTGCGCCTTATAATCCGGTGCGCTGTATACTGCGGAAAGTACGGTAGTCAAAGGTTGCTTCAAATAAGCTGTTTATTGCTGTCTATTAAGGTGTGTTTGCTTCTGCATCTTGATTCTTTGTTCTCTGCAGGTTCGTAAAGGGTCTTCCCATTGAGCAAGTGGCTCTTTCTGAGGAGCTGAGACAGGCTATTGGCCTAGAGCCCCTGCCAAAGGGAATAAGCTACGTTATTAGCACTAAGGTACACACACACACACACACACACACACACACATATATCTATCACTCTGTAGCTCACTTGTTTTTTCAGTTTACTTTGTGAACATCACCGAAAACATAAAACTCAATCTCATCGGTTTTGGTGCGTCTATCTTAAGACTCCACAAAGATGTGATGTATAAGTTGTCAGATTGTGACACACATCGAATTTCTGTCCACATTTCCTTTTTAACACGCAGTTACGTAAATGTTGTGTTGCGCTACTTCAGTCGCAAAATGACATGTTGTAAGATGTAGAGTAGTTCCTCGGCTTCACTGTGAGGAAATGGATGGATGGGTGGATGGACACAGACAAACCTACTAAAGATGTATTTGTTTCTCTAATCTTTTTTTTGGGGGGTTCAAGGTTGGACCGGGCCCTTGTGTTCTGGAGGATCCCACTCAGCATCTCCTCGGATCTGATGGGTGGCCTAAGAAAACTTTGTGATCCACTGAATAAAAATGAGGACAAGAAAGCAGATAACAAATTTGCATTTGTTTACGATTTTACAAATCACAGACACCACAGCTTCATTACCTTTGTAGATGCTAATATGTCTTTCTTGATTATCAAGCTTTACTGGTGTCCCCGTCCTTATCTCTAAATTGGTCATTTCTCGGTATCTTTGCTCACGGGTACGACACACTGCACCATGAATGCAGCTCTGTACTGCAGCTGGTCTTGAGCTCTCTAGTCTACCTGAGCGCATGCTTGTGCCTACAATCCATTTCATTCTTCTTTTTATTTAATTTTCCTCTTCGGCAAAAAAACGAATGTCAGGCTTGCAGTACGTACTTACCGTTTGACAATTGTATTCTGTAACACTAAATAAAATATATTGTTGTCAATACAGCCTTGTCTTGTGTGGTCTTTTCTAAATTACAATATCAAGCTTTTTTTTAGATTGTTTTGTCAGATGCAAAGTAGGGAAACTAAAATAAACATATGCTTGATTTTAAAAGCTGAAATGTTCAGAACGAAATATCCCAGCAAGCACTAAAAATGTGCTCTGAAAATCCCTTGAATGAATTATCAACAGGAGACCCTTCCTGAATCTGGCCACAATGCAGCTTCTTTTTATATTTGTGTTTACCGACTTCTCACCTATTTGACAACGAGCTAATTGTGAGTTTCTTCAGCTTACCTGTTGGGTAAGTTGGACCGGTTAAGAAGTCCCTCCTTGCCACCGTTCATCTACAAACATTCGGGAAATGACGACTGAAAGGGGGGTGTGGCTCACGGATGCCCCGCCTCTCGGTCTGCGCACAAGCACACGCGCACGCGCGCGCACCCACGCCTCACTTCTTCCTTGTAGAAAAGAGCAAATCTGTGAGTCGCTCTCTGGTGAGTTTCAACGCTTCGCACGGCGGCTGACAAGTGAACGCGATGGGGAAAATCGAGTGGGCCATGTGGGCCAATGAGCAGGCGCTGGCCTCGGGACTCAGTGAGTATGAAAACATGTTCATGAGATGGAAAGAAAACAAACTTTATTGAGTGGGTTTCAAGTTTGATTCATATACACGAGCAATTAATATCAAAGAAAATATTTCGACTGGAAATTCGGATTATTCTCTTATCTTCCTTGACCAATGGTGTGCCACAGTTAATTGTTTTTAGATATGTATGTCAACGCATTATGACTGCATCAATTGACTAAATTCAAGTCTGGGATTTAATAACAAAGCTTTTCAGAGCCAAAGTGATGCCCAATTTAACGCAGGTTGTCTGTTTGAGTGGAAAAGGTGTGTTTGTGAACAGTTTTAGTATTAACTTCCTGCTTCCTTCTTTTAGTTCTCCTCACTGGAGGCATTGTGGGGGTGGCTGGGCAGTTCAGGGGCTGGCAGTTTGCTGCTTATGCCATGTATCCTTCATACTTAAACCGTGATGATTTAGTTTAATCCAAAGAAGTGAAGCCTCATTTGTATTTCTTCTGGCATTCATACCATATTCTTATATTGTGCTGTCTCCTTTTACATCTTTGTCAGTATAAATGAATGTGACTAGTGAACCGTGTAAAATGAGGGTCCTTGACAGATCATTAGTGCTGCTGGAGTATTTGTGTGTCTTCTGGAGTATCCAAGAAGCAAGAGGGCCAAAGGCACAAGTGTGGAGAGAACGTAAGTGATGTCTTTTTTTTTTCTCCCCAAAATCATTCGTTTTTTATATGCATGTCAATTTCTGTCATGATTGCATGTGAGGCTTATTTTGCTCATTTCTGTGTTTTCCCTCAGTGGTCAGTACTGCTTCACGGTGTGTGTGAAATCCTTTGGGCCACTGACGAGGAACTACTATGTCAGAGCATTTTTACATGCTGCGTGAGTTCATATGTCACTTTCCTTTGCTGGACTGCATTCCTCTCGTTCAGTGTCCCACCAGTAATAGACACTTTAGTCCTCAAAATTCCATTCCGTCCTTCTTAGAATCTGTGTGCCTGGCGGTTTTATGCTCGCGACTGTCCTCGGATGTGTCTGCCTCGGAATCGCCAGCATTATCTACCTTGCAGTAAGTTCATCTTTCATCACTTCAATTTCTAATTATAGCAGGTAATACTTGATTAAGTTGTTTGCTGAGGCAGGAAGTGGCCAGTTGACTGAAAGAAGGAAATGACAACAAGGAAGAGATCGTTTCAATGTTGGTTCCTCAGTTGAGACACGGCCCTCTAGTTATGAAATCTGACCCAGCAGGGGTGTGCCGGTATTCTCCAACATTGCGATGTGGTTACCAAAGTCATAAAGTTTACCACGCTGCACAGCTCATCTCAATATCATTGTGCATATAACCATCAGTCTACTGGATAAGGACCCTTGCTATGTTTCCTTCCTTTCATAATTGGTAGGATTTGAACAATCAGTTGATTTCACTGCCTTGTTTTTTCACTGTCATCCTCTTGCTTATAGGCAGCTATCCGAGGTGAACACTGGGAGCCCATTGTTCCGAGGAAGGACACGGTCCGACCGCCACCTGCCGACATCAAGAATCCTCCCCAAAATCCACCACCAAGACCTCCTCCTGAGACGCGCAGGAAACGGGTAGAGGACCTTGAGGGAGCGGCCTATGACAACCCCATTCCTGTGAAAGACTAACTAATCAGTTCAATGCATGATCTTCTTAAACCTTTCCCTTGTCTCTCTGAGAGTTTTGTACAATTATTCAAAACCAGTCCCAGTGGGACTTCACAACATTGTCTTATTCCGGACAAACGATTGGTTTTCTGAAGTCAAGTGAAGGAAATGAGTGGACTTCATGTCGGCCCAGACAAAGTACTGTACTGTGAGAGTGAAGTAAAAATGGTTCTTTATCACAATAATTGAGAATTCAAAGGAAGATGGTTGGATTGACATGAACTTTTGAGGCAAAAACGTAAAGCACAGAAGACCATGTAAATGCTATAGCTGCTAAGTGTCAACCGTTCAGAGGTTAGCAAGTCAACAGACTGCAGGTGATGTAGGTATCGCACTGCTGTTATAAAAGTGCAAACCAATGCCTGTTTCTTTGCCGACCACCAGAAATATATGAAGTTGAGTTGCATCCATTGTATTGTTTTGCATTGCACGGATCTTACAATATCTTAGTATGTACTTGCACTCTTATCTTAACCGCCGTGTATTTATGTATTTCTTGAGGTCAACTGATCATAACAACAACATCCATGTTTACTAGGATTAAGTTAACATATTGGGCTGGGGCTGTATCGGGCTGATTGCATACATTGATACATTGGGCCTTTATCATTATTTTATTGCCTGTATTTTGATTTCTCGTAAATAAAAGCCTTCTGTGCATTGAATCATGATCTGTCCTGGTTTTGCATGTTCTTAAATATTGTCTTACTGAACAGGTGTCCAATGGTTATTTTAAGAAATTACATTTGCAACTTCCTCTTTTTCGCAAACAGTTTCACAGTTCAGTTACAAATGCATTAGAAATTCCATTTCTCACCTCAAGTGTTTGTTGAGTGTCTGCTTCTCACACTGCCATTGTTTGTTGTCTTATGATGTAATCTAATTAATCTAGACTGTTGTTCTGCATGTTTTTTCATTCATTTCTGTTGTCATGTAGATTTTGTTTTTGTTGGTCACAGATAATCTATTAAGTAGATGTCGTCTGTGTGTGTATACTAGAGAGGCACAATAATACTTACCCCATATAACCCCACATCATTTGTGGGTCGGTCACTCAGCATAATTTAGTATATGATGCAGCATGAGGTGGCAGTTTTAACCTAAAACCCGTTATGGTCTTGTTCACTCTTCACTCAAGACATTACAGTATTACCATGTGTTGTTTGAAGCATAAACCTAAACCATGATATTGTCTTGATTGAAATCAGTGTTTTTAATTATTTCACTTTTTGTTTAATGCTGCCACCTCCTGTTGCATGAGAGAACAACGCACAGACAGTGAATTTGTGTGCGGCATTAAAAGCTCATTTTCCGGTGCAGTTTCCCAGCCATCCTGTAGGGGGCAGTGACGCACGTTTACAGGCGGGAAGAAGAAGAAGTGAAAAGGCACAACCAATCGAATTGCCACTCATTACACAGCCTGGCAGCTAACTAACGGTAGTTACGTTACCACCTAAATCGGTAAAATTTCAATTACGTGTACGTGTCGTATGCGCAGTGGACAATGTCTTCCCGGGCTCTGCGGAGGCTCAAAGGGAAACAGCGGGGTCAGGAGGCCTTGGACCTCGGGGATCTAACTTTGGGTGACAGCTCGGAGGAGCAGCTGGACTCGGCTAATGTTTCTCCTCCGCCTGATGGCAAAGACCGCGGCCGAAAGGCGAAGAAAAATAAAGCTCAGAAAAACTTCAGCAACATCTATGAATTGGTAAGGAGAACGTGTAACTCGCCGAACTGGCAGCAGTTTACTTATAACGTGACCCTGTATAAGTAACGTGTTTTCTCCCGGCGTTCATAAACATCGCTAACTCAAGCTAGCCGTGTGACGTCAGCGTTAGCTCGTTTCTCGGCTCATCTAACGTTAAACTAAGATGACACATTACGTATGTTTAACGTTCAGTGGGCTAACGCGCTGGTTGTCAGAAGCAGTGTACAACAACAACCTTAAGAAAAACAATCACTCTAAATGTCCACCATGCTGTACCAAAGACTTGTTTACTAACCTATAAATTACATAAAACCAAAATGGAGACTTTGTCAACAAACCCGCCCATGATTGACATCTGACTCTGTTAAAAGACAATTATCTATTCATTATGATCAACATTTGGACAGAACAGTCAATATTGAACACCAATAAAGTCAAGTTGTGTTTGCGTTCAGTAAGCTCATTTAATACTCCCAGAAGCAGTTTAAATACCTTAAATCTGAACACTACACTTAAGTGTCGCGGTTGTCGTTGAATTGTTGTAACCTGTCATGTTTTCAGGAAAAGTTTTTTTCTACTTACTGAACCCTCTTGTATTTTTTTTTTAACTAGATAGGTGATGCAGACAATGACGCAGAGAAGAGCTCACCTGATGAAGAAGCAGAAAAGCCAGCTGGAAATAAAACAAATGGCGCGGGAAAAAACAATAACAGGGAAACTAAGGAGCCAACTAAAAACAAAGCGGAAACGTCTACAAAGGTAGATATGCGAGAAGAAAGATGTCTTTCTCTGAACCAGATTTTTGACCTTCTTTAAAACTGACCGTCTTGTCATATATTAAAATGTAATCTTTTTTGTTTTTAATAGTCTGGAGACAGAGTTAAAAAGAAAAAGAAAAGGAAAAAGACCAAACTGACATCAGAAGATGCACAGGTAATTTTATTTGGAAGGTATTCTATATCTGCTCTGGTATGAGATAAAGTATTATAATTAACAATGAATAGCAATCCTCGCTTTATTTATAGAAAATTGTATCTTCTGTAGGCTTCATTACACTATTCAAACATGGTCTCATCCCCTCTTTTTATATTGAACTCCAGGAGGCCGTACCAGAAGATAATATAGATTTATTGCTGCAAAATCTGGAACAGTCTAATGGTCTGAGTTTGCAAAATGAGGATTGCAGCGGCCCCGAGAGAAGAACTGTGTTACATGTGGAGCACAGGTGAGAAGGCCGACATCTGGTGTAGACGGATCCAGACAAGATTGCACTTTTCCGTTCATTTTCTTTCACAGCCCTGACTTAACATTGCTTGTAACAGGAGTGTTAATCCCTACATTTTAAAGACCCGTTTCCACAGTACTATTTTAGTCCATTAGTTACTGTCTCAAATCATTTAAGCTACACAATTATACTTGAATATTTTTCTTAAGTAGCACAAGAATAGCCCCTGAGCAGTGCACAGCAGACATTGCTTAACTTGGCAATGGCCAATTCAGTTATCACACTTACTATTATGTACATTTTTGTGATTTCTCATTGCCACCATTTGGTGGCGCCTGACTCAGGCCATAAAAACAAACTATTTACAGACTGTCTGTATTAGGGGATACAATGCATATAATCAACAGAGCAAAGGTTAAAACTAATATGGCCACATAGCCAGTGAAGTCACGCCAAACCTTTTCAAATAGCTGTCAATAGCCAAATTACCTGTGTTAATAGAAATATGTCATGTGGGCTGCTGATTTCAGTGATGCAACTGTGCTGAAAACAGAGCAAGCAGGTACTCTAACATTTGTCAAATGTGAAAACTGCACAGCTCTTATAATATTACATTCAATAAAGGAAAGTGTTTTTATCAAATATCTTTCATGTTACATATATTTAAAATGTAAAAGTTTAAAACTTAAAATGTACCTTTTTAAATGAGCAAAACCATCTATACACTGACAGTCAAGAACTGTGGGGCTTGGATTGGAAACCATTTGTTCAGTTTGGTTACCAGTCAACTTAGTAATGCTGCTTTCATCGGATTTATGACTCAATGTTTTTACATTCATACACAATATCTAAATCAAACACCTTCTATGTTTGTCGTGGAATGTGTTTCCTCAGCTCGCTAATGTCTCCATTTAACCCGTCAACATTTAAATGTTTGTCTACTCATTAGGAACCTCAACCCAGATACGGAGCTGAAGAGATATTTTGGGGCTCGAGCTATTCAGGGGGAACAAAGGTAAAATATAAATAAAATATTTGAGACGGTTTTGAGTGAAATGGCCCTCAATGTGTGTATGAATGCAGTATGTTCCTGTGGTCATTTTTATTGTTTTTTGGTCAGACCACGACAGAGAAACCGACAGTTTCACCGAAGCACCTGGATGACAATTCCAAAGGAAAGCTGGCCTCGTTTCAGCCGTCCAGGTAGGCTTATCCTTATAGTCATCTGAAATGCATCTTGTTGTGTAACTGTGTAAGTGTAACATTTCCAGAGTTTGTTCCGGAAATGTGGAGCAGAAAAACAATATATTCCTCTTTACTCTATTTTTATCATGATATATGTTGTAAATTAAATCAATACACTACATTGGCTGACTGGTCCTCATATCGGTTCACCTAAACACACATATATGTGCCTTTTTCTTTTTTGAATGCTATATCCTTTGCAAGAACTCATCACTAATGTAATTTCTTATTCATTTCCCTCAGAGTTAATAGGTATTCCATATTGGCTCCCTGCTGTCCTTCTCTATGTGTTGTTGTTAACTCTGTTCAATATCTTCAAAGGAATCTCAATGACACTATTGCAGTCAAAGGAAGGCACACAGTACTTCACCTTTGAACATGGTCGGCAGTACCAACAAGTACAGTTCAAGTTCCTGGATGCTGTCGAGTCTATGGATCCCAACAACATTGTGGTAGAACAAGTTCATTTCTGCTCTTGTGTTTGGTGTAATTGAATTACTGTTGACTGGGTTAGATAAAATAATCTGTGTGACTGGTGGAAATAATGTTCCTGAAGCAGTGCATAGACAATATTCATTCAATCCGTTCCACTCTTGAATTGACCTGAAACAATCTTGTTGTGGTCTCCTAAATGACCACCGTGGTTGGAGAATTGAAAGGTCCATTCACTGAGCTCCGAAGTGCGCTGTCCGCATGTCTAATGAGATGAAGTTACTACGCTTGAACTTCTATTATTTAACAGTCAGGAACCAGTCTGATGGCAGATTGCTTAAGTGTTTATGTGAAGATACTGACATTCTTTTGCTGCAGAAATAGTTTAAGCATTCTTGCAAAATTCTGACCCACGTCTTCTTCCTCCGTTGAATGATTTTCTATCTTGTGTCTTTGTCTTTTCTTTTTCTCACCAGGCATTGCTTCAGCTTAACCCCTACCACATTGATTCCTTGCTGCAGCTGTCTGATGTCTGTCGCATACAGGAGGATCAGGAGATGGCCAGGGACCTCATCGGTGAGAATGATGCCCTATTTTGTAAATCAATTCTAAACAGAAAATGTGTTTTTAATTCCAGCGTTGACCCAGATAACAAAGTGCTGGTGATACAGAACACACAAAACAACCCCATAACTTAACCTGCCCAGCACCTGCGGTGTTTAGGACTGCTGTCTGTACATTGTGCCACACACAGTGTGCAGATGCTTCAGTGAAATTGCTATCGTTAGGATTATTGCAACTATTGTTGTGGATAAAAGTGAATGTTGGATTTTTCTTCATTTGTTTTTCCAGAGAGGGCAATGTACAGCTTCGAGTGCGCCTTTCACCCCCTGTTCAGTCTTACCTCAGGTACCAGCAGACTCGATTATCTGCGTACAGAGAACAGGTGGGTAACTTCCTTTTCCCCTTTGTTTACTTTTGCTCGACACATTGCTTTGTGTGAGGCATCTGTTGGACTTTAGAATCTTGTTTCTTGCTGAAATTGTATTTGAATGACCGAGCACTTGAATAATTGAATCATCTCGGTCTGCAGGGCGTTTTATCTGGCTCTCTATAAGCACATGATGTTCCTGGAAAAGAGAGGCTGCCCTCGGACTGCTTTGGAGTACTGTAAACTTATTCTGAGGTACAGAGAAGAACGTTTTTCTAAGTAATGTCATACAGAAAAGTCCACATGCTTTTGCAGCACCTTTTTCCTACAAAAACAAGAATCCGAAGGCTAAACATTCAAGTGCCGGCTTTCTGAGATCGGAGTGAGACGAGGAGAAAAGGTGATCTTGTGGTCTTCGCAATAAAACATCTTTGATGTGACACGTCGAGTCTCGGCCAATCGGCGTTCAGATGTCTACAGTGCCTTCTTTTCCCTGCCAACTTTTCATCCTTTCACTCCAAATTGAAGTTACCGCCAACACTCAATTATTATTATTATTATTATTATTATTTTTACCGCACGTGTTTCGGCGCACTCCATGATCCTAATGAGATCAGTTTAGACTTTTGGTCAAAACCTCATCGAGGCTCGAGTGTTCGTCACACAGCGTGAATGTGGTGTGGCATTGTATGCCGCAATGTGAACTTCTACGAAGTGAACTTCTTACACTAAAGAGGGTCATTCCCTGCCATCAGTCTTCTCCAGCTTGAAGTTTACGACCTAACCATATCATGGTCAATGCTTATCTCTGATTTCTATCAGACTCTGGCTTCCTTAATGTGAGCTATGATCTGGTCCTTTTTTATAAAGCGGCAGTGGAGGAATAAAAGCTGACGGCTGCTCCTGTTTCATCGGGAGTTTGTAAATCACTTCAGCCTCAGATGCCAAGAAGAATCTGCTTGAGAAACTGTCTCACGCAGATGTGATTTAAAAACGGTCAATATTATGTTTCAGAGAGAAACTTTGCTCATAACTTTTATAGTTAAAAAAAAAAAACTTAAATATCATCATGCATGCTCAGATGATCATCAAATGGATTGTGGTGGATTTTGAAAGAAACCAGAAAAAATATTTCACCATCATTTTCTGTAGCAAATTGTGGACAGCAGAGTGCAGGCAAAGCTTTAAAACTTACTCTGAAAGCAAATAGCAAAGCAGTGGGATTTTTTTACATCTGGTTTCTGATGTTTGAGGATTTATTTCTCACTAAAGTGGTAACATTTTAGATTAAGCCAAATTTTGCAGCTAGAACCAACATTGCCTTTTAAGGGCCGTGTTTAGCTCACCCTGGAGTGTGGGATGAGACCTTCAGTTGGTCTTGGATCCAGATGTTTGTGTGTATTTGTGCCCTGATAATTCTCTAATGACATACTTTTGCTCTTGTCTGACTTAGTTTGGACCCAGACGCTGACCCACTTTGCATGCTCCTGCTCATTGATTTTCTCACACTGCGCTCCAGAGAATACCAATATCTCCTCCAGTTACATCAGGACTTGGAGGTAAAGTGGTGTGTGTGTGTGTGTGTGTGTGTGTGTGTGTGTGTTCTACCGCTACCTCTCCAAAAAACTGCTCAAGTTTTGACGTTGTAAAGTCCTTATATTAGTTTCCTGTCAGTTTCCACATTAACTTTCAACAACATTCGACAAGGCGCCAGCCATGGCCTGAGGGTTTAAGTCTTCAGTTGTCTCTGCATACATCTGCCTGCATATCTGTTTGCACATCTGTCCATATATCCGTCCGTACATGAGGCGATATTTAAGGAATGCCTGGTGGGAAAACTCTGTTTCACACCCAGACTCGAGGATGAACTGATTCTGTTGGTCAAAGGTCAGCGTCCCGGTGACCTCACAAAACAGCAACTCAAATATTAGTTTTGTGGAATTAAATACACCTTAATCTAGACTAAACTAAACTATCAAGCCTAAAAGACCAATCCAATATTACATTATTACACTACTAAATAATTTTATAAACTCGTATTATGCTACATAACGATATGTGTTACTCGACCCAATGTGTGCCTGATCCATAGTTACCTTTTCCTCAGTTATATTAAGTGAAGGAAATTTAAATTGTATTTATTTGTGCGTGTGAGTATGCATGCGTGCGTGCGTGTGTGTGGGTGAGAGAGTGTGTGTATGTATGTATGATATTAATCTTCAAAGTAATATATACTAATTGAGAATATGGATAAGAAAGGGGTGGGTATCTATAAGCTTTTGCTTCCCCCTACTCCTTTTCTTGAACAAAAGGTGTATTTTCTCATTTTGTGGTCTACGTCTATGTTGATTTTTAAATTTTTTATTATTTGGTGTCTACATGTTCAAGAAATAAAATTCATCAAATCAAATCAAGTTCATTTATATTGTCTCATTCCTTTTCTTTCTCCCATATATTTGGACTACACGTTCCATACGTTTCATCTACTGACACAGAAATTCTATTTTTTTTGCATTGTAGGTGCACAGAAACCTGGGTCTGCTGCCAAACTTTGCATTCTCCACCGCACTCTGTCATTTCCACCTTAGTCAACAAGAAGACGTGGATCCTGAAGAAAGACAGAAAGAAAGAGAAAAAGCTGACGAGATGCTGCAGAAAGCTCTGATCATGTTCCCCGGAGGTTAGACTGCCGATCGATAAATATTTAAACAGAATTCCCCCTCAGTCACTTCTTCCTGTTGTTAATTGCTATGACTATGACCCACATGTTGCTATAAATGTGTTTTCTGCAGTGTTGATTCCTCTACTGGATCTGTGCACTGTGCAGCCGGATGCCGCAGTCAGCTCACATGCCTTCTTTGGCCCAAAGAGCCAGATTGGGTAATGTATCCTTCCTTTGTTTTGTTTATCGTGCTATTTATCCCCTTTTTATGAATGAAGCATTGTAATTTATTATACTGCAGCTTTTTATCATGAACCTTTTCATAGCTTATGTCCTATCGTTCTCCTCACTTTCTTTTCTTTTTGCTTTTCCTGTACCCTAAGGTTAAACACAAACTCACCCCACTCTGTCTGTCTTCAGGCAGCCGCCGGCCCTGGCTGAACTGACGGCTCTGTATGTGGGGAGGACTCACAGCATGTGGAGGGAGGCAGCGGTTATGCTTTGGTTGGAGCAGTCTGTGAAAGAGGTGCTGTGTCGGGTTGATGCTAAAGACCCTCTGGTAGATGACTGCCAAAACAAGTAAGACCTCCTTTTGCTGCTGTGTTGAAATATTTGTCTGCAGTCTTGCTCTCTACGTTAGCGTAACTCCCGTCCCTCTGGTTTACCAGAAAGCAGAGGTACAAGTGTGCCCCGAGGAACATCCATCGCCACGTCCTCCTCTCTGAGATCAAAGAGGCCACCTCAAGTCTGCCTCTCGTAAGTAACGATCAGCAACCACACTCCTCCAGGAAAATCCATAGGATCAACCATCTTATGCACACTAATGAGGCCTTCCAAATATCCTGTCAAGCCGGATTAGTTTGTTTGATTATTAATCACACTACTGGAAACATGTGGCCAATCTAGGATTGTTTTTTGGTGGGGGTTGCAAGTAAAAACTCAGAAAGGTAGAAGGAAAAGGTGCAATATATTTCATTCTGAAAGATTTCACACTTAAAATAATTCTGATCGCCTCTCTGAACTCATGCCGTTGTGTATGTGTTTTTTTTGTACATGTGTTTTGACAAACGAAGGAGGTGACCAGTCAGCCTGTGCTGGGATTCGACCCTCTGCCCCCACTGGACTCGGTGACGTCGTACACCCGACCAGAGAGGTAAGGGAGGACCCGCACAGCTGTGTACTCCACATCCCATTGCACAGTCAAAAAGGAAGCAAATGTTGTGCTGGAGAAACCAGCAGGCAATAGATCAGCGATTTTGTTTTATGTAAAAATCACATTTTCCCATGTGTGTTTGTGTGTATATAGGCAGCACGTTGGTGCAACCAATGAAAGTACATTGTCGCTGTTTTTCCGGTCTTTGCTGCCAAACTTCAACCTTCAGGTGAGTTCTGTGGATTAGGCCAAATGGAGGTGGTAGCAAATTTTTCGGGCAAATTGTTTTAACGGCGTTTTCCACCACTAGTACTGCTATAGAGCAATGTGTTTATGATCCAATTCCCTCTTAGTTAGTTCTGTGGCACGCACATGAGGATTGTGATGTGATGCTATGCTCAACTCACACATTTTATTTGACAAAAAATCTGCTTTGAAAATATTCTATTGTATTCTACATTTTTGTGTAGGTTTTTGTTAGACCTTCCGGGTGAGGCGATTGTTTTAGTCCAGCAACATTGACTGAAGAGTACTTGTTTGTGTACAAGTAAATTCACCAGGTACATTTGATGACAGGACCGAGAGCGGCAAGTAGACTGAACCCATTTCCACTGGACCTATTTAATTTATCCCTAAGATTTTAAGAGATTCTGATGAATTTAACTTGCAACCAGAATGATTAGTAAGATTCCTGTGATAACACAACAATCTTTAAGTCCCATAATATTTCAAAGCTACTACGTTTGCATGGGAGCTTTGACAACACAAAAGATGGAGTCATCACTAGTCCAGTGCGCTTCAAAATCTAGCTGGCGCCACATAAAGATGAAGTGCAGCATCAGGTACATCCACACAACTAGCATCTTGTGGGTCAGCTACACATGCTCAAAGTTACCAGATGGGCTTCCATCAGGACAGTTTCATCCATCCTGATTATGTTATCCACTTACAGACAGGAACAGATTTGATACAGATCAAAGAAACAAAGTTAAAATACGGAAAGATATTCTGCACATTGTTCTTTATTAATGCTGACAGTTAAATAGAAGAAGGAAGAAAAAAAATTGAAGGATAAAGGCCGACATACAAACATCTGACGCGTCAGTACTTTCTATTTTGACCAACATGTCTTTCCTCGTTAAGGGCGGGCTGAGGCAGGAGGACGACATGGAAGTTGCTCGAGCTGGACAGGAGTTGAACCAGGAAGTGAATCGTCTAATGGTGGCAATGAGGGACATGCTGGCCAACATCAGGTTTCAAGAGCCCCCGAGAGAGGACAACCCCTACAGAGATGAGGATGAGTGGGACTGAGGCAGGTGGAGACAGAGGAGGAAGAAATGGGGACATTAAGAAATATGGAACTATTTTATGGTGTTTGAGGGTTTATAATAATTGAGAAGAGATGAACAACTGTATTTTATTATTTTTAAAACTGTCACAGTTCAACATAAGAATGAAAGAAACAGACCCCCGAACATGGGGAACTTTTCAGTAGCGTCAGGAGAAAAAAAATTCTGAACTAGTCATGAATCAAGTTGACCGTTTTATTTCTTCATAGCCACACTCACAGTTCTTCCTCTCATTTTGGACTTTCAGGCAATTTTTCATGTTTATGAACAGTGGACGGGTTTATAAAGTAAGATCCACATTTCTTTGAGTGACAGTTCTGTATCAAACATTTAGCAATTGAGCATGGCAGCACTATAATGATTTTGTTTTACTGCCACAGAATCAAACCGAGCGTTTCCCTCTCCTCAGACTGCTTTCCTACCAAATAGCTGAAATGTTTCAAAATATGACGAGGCACTCCAAAAGAAAGTATGTGAATTGCAGCATGAATGTATATGGTTACTAAAAAGTGCCTCAAATGATTCCATTATTTTAGAAAAGTCAAGTTATTTGTGGAAATAATTACTTGAGATTTAAGTGCTGAGTTTCACTTTAGGCTTTACGATTTATTAAAAACTCATTATCCATGAACATCGAAATCAAAACTATTGGAATTCTGTTCTTCTGTCTTATCTAATGAAGAAATTGTTGATTAACTGGTTACATAGTCCGTTCATTAGACGACATCAGTCTGAGAACTTAATGACATTTTCTTCTCTACTTGTCTGCGTTTCTGATTCTTGTGTAAATCTTATTGTTGCTGCAGGATGTCAGCTGTTCCGCTCCTATTCGCCCTCACTTCTCCTCTGTTTGGAAATCAGTTCCACATTTCTGAGTTGGATAATTTTTGATTATTTGTGGCTTACCCCAACCAATAAAACAGTACAGACAATTGACCCCAAAGTTGTTATGTTGTCAAAGTGATGTTAAGTGCGTATGACCCGTGTTTTAGAAATGTTTCCTAAATTCTATAGTTTATAACCGTACTTCTGGCAAGATGTCAACAGTATATCAACTATGTCATTCCAACTTCCTTTATGTGTCACAATTTTCCCACATCTTCTATCTTGTGTTGCGTTTCTTTTCATCCTGACGTCTCAGCCGGACCGCCTGCAGCGCCATCACGTGGTTTTCATCTGGCAAAAGGAAGCATCTCGTCTCATGAGGATCCACCTCTTTGTTCTCCTGTCAAACTTAGACAAATGTTACGTATGAGTGGATTTAATCGCTTTAGGGGTTTTCTATATTACAACACCAATTCATTTAATATAGAAAACATTAAGTTGGAGTCAACCTAAAGGTGTCTTCGTCTACTGTTCACGCATTAACTCGAGCCACATGATAACAGTGTGACTGCTTGATTGTCAAATGCTGTAATTGTTGCTAATTCACCTGGAGCAATCTCCGAGGACTTTGCATGTGATAGTATAGAAAGGCTTTCATATCTTGATGATGGTGAGCTGTGTGTGGTTAAAAAAAAATAATCAAAAAAATCACTTTTCTACCACGAATGTCTCATAAAACGATTTAAAATATCAAAAAAAAATCACAGTGGTGAAACAATTAGATGTCAAACCAGGGCAAATGATTATATTAATCATCAAAACACATGCGGATCATTTCCATGTTTAATCTATTTAAAAATTTGGGCTGAAATTTTTTGTAAAAGAGCCTGTCACGAGTTTCTAGAGTCCACTGTGACATCATTGCATGGTTTGTTTGTCCAAAATAAACAGCGAAAGATCTTCCACTCGGGGATATAGTGATGTAATGTTGAAACTCTTAATGGTTATTAAACTATCAGCAAACCAATACAGAGTTGTAAATCAGCTGTCTGCCAGGATACTAATCGAGATCTACACCGGTGTTTTATGGAGAAAACAACAGTTTTTTCTGCGTCTTGTCGCCGTCCTTTGAAAAGCCGCGTGCTGCCTTTCATGATGTCCACAGTTCTGGTTACACAACATACTTTAAAAGGTGAACCGTGTGTGTGTGTGGGGTGGGGGGGTGGGGGGGTGTTGACGCACCGACTAATCCATCACCGCCAGCATTACTGTCAAAAATCAAATAACTTCCGTAAATTAAATAATTAAATAACCTTCGTTTTCAAACGACCATTTAAAAAAAAAAAAGAAGAGATATCGATGAGAAACCAAGCAGAACATCGCTTGTCCCCACCCTGCTTTCTTCTCCATGTCCCCCCCCCCAAAGCTGCGCGCGTGTCAGACATTACAGAGACGCCGGCTGACGTTTGCTTAAGAGGAGGAGTCGCCTCAGGTCTCTCAGGATCCTGCATCCCCCTCAGAAGCGCCCAACAGTCTCCGATTCCCGGCGCAGCGGCCCGAGTCAACAGCGGCAGAGGGGCGAGTGGCGAGGGGAGGCGCGTGGTTTGACGCAGAGGGGAAATTGATGGACCTGCTTGCTGGGAGAGTTGCATCCATCCAAGAACCAGAAGACTCGCGAGGAGACGCACTTTCCACACGGACGAGCGCTCAAACTGCCAGGAATGAATTTGACGGAGTATTTAATTATTGTTATTATAGCCAAAATAGAAAGTGACAACTCGTTGCGGGTATTTGACGGTCAACGACAAGGTTGAACAAATAACTAAACAACTCGCTTGATTTTTCTTTCCAGCTGGCTGTGGTTTACCGGTTCATGTTGGAAACAGCCACAAAAACAACTTGAAAACTTGCTGACTGACATAAATCCAGTAGGACAGCCTGTAAAAAAAAAAAAAAGTTAAGTCATCATTCAGAGGTCGGACATGGAATTGACCAACAGGTCCCGTCTTGGCCCCTCCATCTACCACATGGAGCTCAGCCCACAAGATTACTTTATGGAGGACAACGAAACGAACTCCACCGCTGGAGAGCGGAACGGCTGCGTGCAGATCCGCATCCCGCAGGAGCTCTTCCTGGCGCTGGGGCTCATCAGCCTGATGGAGAACATCCTGGTGGTCCTTGCCATCCTCAAGAACCGCAACCTGCACTCTCCCATGTACTACTTCATCTGCTGCCTGGCTGTGTCTGACATGCTGGTGAGTGTGAGCAACGTGGTGGAGACCATCTTCATGCTCCTCAACGACCACGGCCTGATGGACGTGCACCCCGGCATGCTGCGCCACCTGGACAACGTCATCGACGTGATGATCTGCAGCTCCGTGGTGTCCTCGCTCTCCTTCCTTTGCACCATCGCTGCGGATCGCTACATCACCATCTTTTACGCGCTGCGCTACCACAACATCATGACCACGCAGCGCGCAGTCATTATAATCGGTCTGGTGTGGTTGGCCAGTATCACCTCCAGCATCCTCTTCATCGTGTACCACACCGACATCGCTGTCATCGTGTGCCTCGTCACGTTCTTCTGCGCCACCCTGGTGTTCAACGCCGTGCTGTACCTCCACATGTTCTTCCTGGCCCACGTGCACTCCAGGCGCATTATAGCTTTCAATAAAAACCGGCGCCAATCCACGAGCATGAAGGGAGCCATGACCCTCACCATCCTGCTCGGGGTCTTCATTGTATGCTGGGGCCCGTTCTTCCTCCATCTCATCCTCATCCTCACCTGCCCCACCAGCCCCTTCTGCAATTGTTTCTTCCGAAACTTCAATCTCTTCCTCATCCTCATCATCTGCAATTCGCTAATCGACCCGCTCATCTACGCGTACCGGAGCCACGAGCTGCGTAGAACCCTGCGGGAGCTCGTCCTGTGCTCGTGGTGCTTCGGGGTGTGACAGCGTGTGGGAGAACCAGTGCATCAGGAATGTCTCCAAAAGGCCTTCTAAGACATAAACCGCGACTGATGAGAGCGTGAACCTGAGCGGATTGGACTGTATAACTTGTGTGCATCACGTAGTGGATTTTAAGGTTAAGTGTATTTACACACAATCCGTCTATGGTAAAGATTTACGGTTCCACACAATTCACTGGACACTGAAATTCTTGGTCTTTTAAAAAATGCACAAGCTGGCAAGCCTTTTATTCTTGTTATTCAAATCTTTCCCTCACCAAATGTACTTGAATTCGCTGGTATAAACTGCCCTCATTTCTTCAGAAATGTGTTATTTGCTTCAACTAATTTTTCATGCTGCTGGCACTAGTTTAGAAAGGAAACTGAAAACCTTCTCTGTTGACATGTTAGCGTTGTTGCCGCGGTGTGTGCAGTTTGTTGGGCACAGAGATTAATTTAGAGACATTTCCATCTATGGAGCCTGCTCGTGTTTATAGCAGATCAATTTCTGAGGGTGCTTATAACAAAACTTGACGCTTTACGAAACAAGATTTGGCGTGTAATGCTTGCATTATATTATGGTGTTAAGCAATTTATAGCAAATGTTAGTGTTTGATGATACCAATGCCTCCCCTTGCATAATTGTAAGCCTTCCATTTCCCAACTATTTCAAAATCCATCCCTATTCCATCCTGGCAACTTCGTCCTAAAAAGATATGCATTTACTCCAATATTCTAATTGCTGGATGTAATATAATCTGATTCATTTTGTGATGCATTGGCTATGATCATTCCTCAAGCACGGCAAGAGAAATGGGCAGATATTAAAGAGAAAAGTGTCCTTTCAATGACATGACATCAAACTCTCGTTGCAGTCTAATTATCGGCGTTGTGGGTATAACTCTGCATACCAAAAATAAATGTCTGGATAACTGAAGGAGGAAATATGGTTGGAATCACATGGCCTGCCTGGCTTGATACTCGAGGCCCGGGGCACAAGAAGGTTTATGAGAGAAGCCAAATCAAAGTAATACTTTGAATGGTTCTCTGAGATCTGCTTACAACGCGGACTTCTGAACGATTTAGGCCTGACCTCAGCTTTTCGGGACAAACAAGTGGCACTTTGAGCCTGCTTATTCAATTAATAATTCTATATCTAAATCCCACAAATGCTAAAATGCAACATATCAAACAACCATGAGTCCGCCTGGACTGGGTACACGCTACCAAGAGATTTAGATCGAACTGCCCTGAAATGTGCTGTGAGATCCAACCTATTTCTCTTGCATGTAAGAATCTCTACTTATTCTTTATCTACTTTTTATTTCTTGATTATTCTATGACATCACATTATTTATTGATCCCAAGGATTCGTTGTAAATAGGACTTGACTTTTAGACCCAAAGTGATCTTGATAAATCCTGAAATTTAGCCTTATGTCTGTATTTGAGCCAAAACGTGTATTGTTGCTCCCCATTAAATTGTTGGGGTACAAGGGGAGTTGTTCTCATATTATGGAAAAAGACTCCCATGATCAAGCTGTCATAGATAAGATAAGAAATAATTCAACTTTACTGGTTAAACGACAGCAACCAAGGGTGAAATGCATATGTGTGAAATGGATATGTGTTATATATATTGTTTGTTACGTACACAGTCCCCACTGTTCGCTACGGAAGTTGCCGTCATTTTCCTCAAGTCAATTAACTAATTTTTTGAGTATTATTGATGTTACTTTTAGTTCAACGCTATACATTATAAATGAGTTTGTAGGGTTTTCTTCTTTGCCTGGGAATTGGTAATGAACAGCGTGTCTCTGTATCTGCTTTATCATTCTCTAATATTCTATAATGTCTCTATAATCTCCGGTTTTAACAACACACAAAAAAAGCAACTCATAACTTGAAATTAACTTTGTTGTACAGGTATTTTACAGAAGGAGTATGTGTGTTGTATGTAATCCTTGGTGTTGTTTACACTCTCTCTCTTTGTCTCAAATAAAGAGGCCAAAAAGAATATATGTGGTAAATCAATTAATGAAGGAAACAGTTTGGGTGTTATTAAATTTCATTATAGTGTTATAATCTATTTTCCTTGATGTGTTTTGTCTACTGGCACATGGCAACATTCACGCCAAATATCTTCTTCTCATAGGTCCTATACATACTAACAGAGATCACTACCACCATGTGGAGTTACTTCCACTCCTTGAACTTTAACATGTTTACATGTCACTGACACTTACATTTCTTAATAAAGAACAAATATCCAATACAACTTGTGCTAATAGCAGACAGAAGGGCCATTGATATATAACACAACAGAGACATTTTTTAAATACTCCATTTTGAAACTCATGATCATGTTCAATTCCTGTGCAATAAATAACATCATGAGAGAGGAGGGGATTCCCAACTGAAATAAATATAAATCCTCCCCCTGTCCTCAAAGAAGAGTCTTAATTGTTTGGAATCATTCTATAAATAAAGGTTTAACAGAAAACATGAAGCAAAATTTGAATCAAAGTTACAGAAAAATCCGTATGTCATTCAATCTACCAGACTGAGGGTAGTCTGCTAATTAAAGATTGTGATGCCGTTTTAGAGTTTTGTAAGGCCTTTTGGCTTACCTTTGTAATGCATAATTATTTGTAATCCCTTATTGGTTTGAATAATTTTCATTTGCCCATTAATATTCTTTCAGCAGCTCCTTTCACTGCATATGGTTATGTTTTATTCTTTAAAGATTGTAAGGCTCATAAATCAATACATTTCCTGGGTTGTAATTGTCCAATTCGTCACAGTAACATACGGAGGCCTAATCACACAACGGCAGGAAGGATATAGCATCTCGAATTTAAGAATTTGCCTTCCAAATGCAATGAACCTGCTCTCTGTATAGCTTGATCTGCTCCATCAAACGTGTTGATGATCAAATGTTAAGCTGTTGCTAAAAGTAGGAACTTTGCGGATCACAGGCGGCCAACTTTTTCCACCAGTCCCTGAAATGAAACATGTTTACTGCGACTGTTGAATTTGGAACTTTACAAATTCCAGGAGCGCTTTTCCCGGCCCATGTGCGATCGCATCACGACACATCGGTTGTTCCACAGTTATTATTTAGAGCTTGTGTAAACAGTAAATAGGGACATGGGCTGTTTGCGAAAACAAATCACTCAGATTGTAACATCCTGGTTAAGCTGTGGCTGAGCGTGAGAGCGCGTGTCACCGCCTGCGGTCATTCGCCTCTCTGCTGCAGGGCAGTTAGCGGTGACCTTAACCATCATGGACAATGACTAACTTGTTTTGGTATCTTCTGGTGCTCTGCTCTCGATTGACCCTGATGCTTCAGCTGTAAAACACACCTGGTTAAAACGCCCGCTTAACCCAGAGGATGCCAACAGTAGTAACAGAGGTAACGGAACAGAAGAAACAGAGCTTGGTAAGTTGTGCATTAGTTCAGCTGGATGGCTGACTCGGGGGTGGAGCTCATGGTTTGAAAATGAATGCCATAATTAAGACGCATCATTGACGCATTCCCACGAGAATGAGTTCCTTATGCAGCTTATTGAATTAGTTATTGCTGAGAGTTGCTAATTCCCTCTTCCTCTGTCACATGCAGGCTCGTTAGAAAATACTGTACCACCTCATCTGAGTATCTCCACATGGAGCGACTTTAGCAGAGGTGTGACATATTTTCCCCAAAGGCCAATCGGACCACACTGCATATGGGGCTGGATGTAAAAAGATGATACTTTTTTTTTCAGTCAGAGGGTTAAAATGATCTTGTGTGTTCTCTTTCTACATATGAGCATGGAGACGTGGTGAACTAGAGATCCAAAATCCAAGTATGAACCTGGAAATTTGCAATATATCCCCTTGAAATGCTTTAATGTAACCAAAACAGTCAGCCAGAAATGTGTCCCTCTGCATCAGACGCAACAGATTGTACTGCGATTGCTGTACTGCGATTGCTCCATTAACAAGGGAGAGATGCGACATTGTCTGAGTGCCTGTGCCAATTTGGTTTTTGGTCAGTTAACAGTTGGCACTGAACTCGAGCGTTTTGATAATTGAACTGGAACAGCTGTGACATACCACTCGGCATGTGATTGGTTATGATTTATTATGTACAGCCGGATATTTCCTTTTAAGCCATCGGGCAAACATCACTGGGGCCAGTGGACTTATTCTGTGGCTTTAGTGTTTGTTCGTGGATTTTACCATATTATGTTAGTACTTGTTCCTTTGTGTAGCTGAACAAAACACTGCAAAGATGAATCTCCACCTTGAGCTGCGATGATTTAAGTTACGAACAGAAGTGCGTCTGCTGCTGATGCAGGTGTTTTCACATGAAGCCTAATATGGATAAAAAATCTATTCATTTGATATTAACAAATTAGTTTAATTGAAGTTGTTTAGTTATTTATACTTATTCTGTTTAAATGTTGCAGAATAAATACAAAAATATAATTTAGAAAGCCCATGAGGAAATGTAAAGTCCCTGCAAACATGCCAAACACTAAATTATATATACAGTATAGGATCTTTAATAGATCAAATATAAATGTTGTATGTCTTATTTTTCAGTAATAGAATAATTGCATCTTGACAAGCGTAATGGAATAATGACAATAAAGGCATAAATGATAACAAAATGCTGACGCCAGTCTCAGAAGGGATGTAAGTAAATGTAGAAAAGAAGAAGCTCACCCTGAAAAAGACACTGTCCAAATAATTTTGAGATATAAAACTGCAAATAAACCAAACATGTGCTGATAGAGTGTAGGAAAGTCATTTTGTAAAGAGAAAGACTGAAGAAGCAGCGTAGATATATGACTGGAGTGGAGCATCAAACGTGAGGGACAAACAAGCTTATAGGTTAAAAGAGCGTTATTTAAATTTTAGGATGGAACATGTTTAAGCTATGGATTATTTTAAAAAAATATATTGTAATACTATAATTGTATTTAAATGACAAACGTCATTATGATGTCACACACTCCGGTCCAATAATTGTCGGAAGTAACCTTAAATATTGGTTTGCTGTCCCACGATTAATTATTTTGAAAATTCTAACCGGAAATGGACTTTCTTCTTCTTCTTTTACAATTGATGACATGGCGCTTTACGTCTTGTGCTGCCGCTGGTAGCAAAACAACTGTGGTTGAACTGCTCATCCGTACCGCACCCCTCGACCATACGGACATTTGACAGCTACCGAGTGATAGCGGTAAATATGCTCGATCACGTGGTAAGCTTCTGACCGGCTCGAGCCAGCATTAGCAGCCAAGAAGAGCGCTGTTTTAGGCTGTCAAAGCTAGCGAGCTAACGTTAGCTGCCTGCTGATACTTGTGCGTTAATGTTGACGTGCCCTTCTTTTTTTACATCGGTAACATGCGTGTGATTATTCATATTAAATACCCCGCATCTTTACCATTAATACTCTGAACAAGAAGGTTTTGGGGAGTGTGACAACAACAGACCGGGGTTCAGTCGGTGAGGTGATGAGGATCTTTCTCAGGCTTTGACCCAGTGAAAGTTAAACCAGACTGATGATACAAATATCTTAGTTAAATGTTTACGTTGTGAATGAAACGTTATTGGATAATTATTATTGTCACGTCTGACAGTAGTGCAGTTTACCATCCTAAAGACATTCGCATAATCTGAATTGCGGTTTTAATTTGAATATGCTGCATCCTTTTGGGAAGTTAAAGGTTGAAGGCGAGGTAGTTTCTTTTTTGTCATTTAACTTAACTTTTCTACATCTGATCTATTTCTAAAGCTCTTTAGGCCTCCATTCCTTGTTTATTGCAAGTAAACAATGTTTTAGTCCTGATATTTTAGTTTGTTAAATAATTATTACCACTTTCCAAACATCTTGAAAAAGCAGCATACTACAAGTTAAAGAAAGAACTGCCAGAATCTGTTGGAAAGTTTGATGAAGACATCGACGACGTTTTAAGAGACTAAATTACAACCCGCTTGAGAGACGTGTTTTCATCAGTGGCCCGTTTGGGATCTGAGTAGAATCACAATGTACACAAACGTATAACAAACGCTCGCCGCTGTCACTAAAAGACCTTTCCTGTGCTTTGGTAGTAACGAACCTCTCCGTGTGGCCGTAATGCATCTTTTCTTCTTCAGATGTAGACGATGAAATGGAGTATGACGAGAGACTTGCAAATTTCCGCCAAACCCGCCTCAACCCCTTTGATCGTGGGGAGGAAGAAGATGGTCTACATGGAGGCAAGACACCACCACTGCGCGGTAACGTACTTTACAGGCAAATTTTAAAATGTAATGCTATCGTCAATTTAATGCTATTGCACCCAAGACGTTTAAACATTACGTTTTATGGATGTTAGTCCTGCTCAGTGCTACTCTAATGGAAAAATAGAAACCGTGAAGACATGAATTAAATGAATCAAAGTTTATTCGGCTGACAGTGTCGAGTTAAACAAAACCGTACGGGTTTATTTCTTGGGTCTAGTGGTCACAAAGAGCTCTTAAAGAAAAACCTGGTGAAGACCAACATCAGTCCGGCTGCAACCAGACCGTATATGTCCAACACTGCGGGAGGACGAAAGCACAGCACAACGGCGGTTTAGTCCTTTTCAAAATCCCAGAAAAAAAAATTCCGAGGAAGAGACATGACTCCCATCAGAATATAGAAACTGCTTTAATTAGTTTCAGTGTTCTGCTTTGCTCTGAAAAAGGTATCTTGTTTGGCAGCTTTTGAAAAGAGGCCAGTTAATCTGGGACCTTTTTGAGCAATTGTCCTGAAAAAATATCAAATGTTCCACATCTTTAGCCTCTGGTGAGGATGTGGTGCTGCAGTGGGAGGTGTTTTCTTGTACCGTGGTTTCTGCTTCTCTAAATGTCACTTACTTACAGGGTCAAATGCTATTGTGTGCTTGGATCGCAGTGTGGAGGCAGCGACTCCCAAGAGAAACTAGGCACGTGCCAAATTGTTTCTCAGATGTTTACAGATGTTAAACTGTTACATCTGGTTCAGAATGGATCCCGACACTTAAAGAAATAGCCCACTGGACAGTTGTGAGTGATTCTCAGCTCATGGAAAAGGACGTTGTAAACACCATAGCTGAGACAGAGGAAACGAAAACCAAGCGTAAGCAGTGCTTTAGTACCACTTCCTGTATTCTGAGAATTAAAAGCATTAAAAGTCTGACCCGCTGCGCTTCATTGTCCTTCGCCTGTCTGTCGTGGAGAAGCCAAATTCACCAAAATGTTTTGTTCGGAGGTGTATGCAGGTAACGGCAATTTGTTTGCACTTTTTCGAAACGATGGAGTGTTTGTTAGAATACGTAATCAAATTGGTTTCCTTTGTATCATTGGGAGTATTTCAAATCAAAATCAAAATTGAGTATATACACTGTTGATATCTTGTAGGTACATGGTGATCAGCGTGTGTTTTTATTGTTAACTTTGCATAGATTTGATCTGACATGCAAAGTTGGCTTTGGATTTTGCTGTCATACGTAGATAAACACAATGTACTTAGTAAAATTACATTTCAAATTAAGTACAAAATGGAGAGGGATTGAAATTTGGCCATGTGTTGCTAGTTTAAAGCTTTGAACTTTTCCTCAGGCTGGCTGTAGGTGATACACAGGAGCTGCACCTCTATTCACCTCAATAGAGTGTGAAAGTAAAACTGGTTATATCCAAATGCATTTCACATTCCTACTAACAACATCCTTAAAAATACACGCACCTAATTCAGTGTCAGCTGTTTTGTGTTTTATTTCTATAAACTCATGTCTAGATGAAGCCTCTAATTTAGTATTTATTTTACAATCACTAATAAACTCCTGTTTTCATAATGCAGAATTGAGCAAGTTAGGATCCAGATGTCTTTCTCAGGAATTAATTGAGAAGCAAACAAAAACATATACTATTATTATTATTATTATTATTATTTGTTCTGACAGAAACTTGTCTGCAGAGTTATGCTACTGTCATCACTTAACAGTGTTATGGAAGTATAAACTCTGACAAATATTTGTGAATAATTGCACGTCAGAACAAAAAGAAATCCTTTCAGATGCTTTATGAGTATCGGGCTCGTTGTTGGTCATGAGACTAATATAAGACCAAGAAAGAAGTCCTTTCACATTTGCCAGCACTAGGAGTGACCAACGCACACAGGCAGCCATGCTACTGACAGCAGAAGAATGTTCGCTCTGTGATTTAATTGATGTGAAAGACTCGCATCTCAGAGACCGATCACAAACAATTTTGATCCAAAAGTTATTCGCACTTCAAAGTTCATCTGGTTTATCTGCAGTTGTAATGACACAGAGGGAGTCGGTCGTGTCACCTCGCTCGGTTACACATTAACCCGAGCGATGAGATGATTACCAGGGATTTTCCTTCACTTGAACATTCATCCCTTTCGTCTTTTGTCTGGTGTTCTTAAGTGGTGAGCCCGGGGGCAGGAAGCGCCACGAGAAGCCACAGTCATTTTAGAGGTTAGCATGTATGACCGAGTGCACTTACAACACCAAAGTGTGTCTGCTCAGAAAGAAAAGTGCTTTATGCCGCGTTTCCTTTTCTTTAGAATCAAAGCCTGAGCTGTTCTCAGGGACCAGAACCCACAGCTCGGACCGGACCATGGACCTTGGTCTAGCTGAGGACCACTTCTCAAGGCCTATGGTAAATAAAGGATGGCTGTCCGCCTCCGATCCAAATGACTTCGATATCGTTAGACGATGAGTACTTTTATTCCGGAAAAAAAAACATTATAATGATTATTGATTAACTTTTGCTCTCATTCGCCTATTTCAGGGTTCAATTGTGGCTTCCGACATTGAACAGCTGAAAATGGCCATAGAGGAGTGTAAAAAGCTGATTTTGGAGCTGCCGGAACACTCGGAGAGGCAAAAGGACACTGTGGTGAAACTTATCCATCTTCGTCTCAAATTACAGGAACTTAAGGTTGGAACTAAAGAATGAACATGATAATGTAGCTTGTCGGAGTAATCAGAAAAACACAGACATTAGTATATTACCAATTTCTCTGACTTGGTTGGGATTAAACTTGTGTTAGCAGAGGATAATGAATTATCTAAAACCTTATCTTGTTTCTTAGCACCCACATGAGTTTTTGTATTGGGCCATTTTGAACGATATGAAGGGAAGTGCTGTACGTCATATACAGTCCATAAAATAGGCAATATTTATTCAATACTTCATTTTTGAAGCATTGCCAACTTGATGCAAGTTTTGTTTTCTCCCTCAAAAGGACCCCGAGGAGGATGAGCCTAATCTGAGAATCTTACTGGAGCATCGTTTTTCCAAGGAAAAGAGCAAGAGCGTGAAACAGACCTGTGACAAGTGTAGCACCATCATCTGGGGCCTGATCCAGACTTGGTATACCTGCACAGGTGAGACACACTATGCAATGCATCATTCTCAGCACTCTGGAGGTATTTTGCTCCCAACATTATACAACATGTTTTAAGAGTGCAAAAGTCAGACTTTGATACATTTCTCCCCTCTTGTTAAATATAGTTTTCGTTTCATTTTATATTGCTAGATTTCCATTTTTATATTTTTGTAATGGAGGACTCGGGCAGAGCTCTTTTTAATTGGTTAACCACCCATCATAACCAATCCATTGTGTATAGTGGTAATTCCATTGCGTGCCATGTGACTCTCTTGTTCCAGGTTGCTATTATCGTTGCCATAGTAAGTGTATGAACTTGATCACCAAGCCCTGTGTCAGGTCGAAGGTCAGCCACCAGTCAGAGTACCAGCTCAGCATCTGTCCTGAGATTGGACTCGACCGACAAGATTACAGATGTGCAGAATGTCGCACTCCTATTTCACTACGTAAGTACAAATCGAGAGTGTTGATTTACGTTTGGCAGGTTGAAATATTGAAACAGAGAAACTAAAAGTAATACGTCTGATGATTGAACTTCTGTTTGCTTGATAGGCATCTGCACACAGTTGTAATTAAAAGTGACTTCATAGCCATTCACTGCCTGCTGAATAGAAATGATTGTGACAGAAATGCACAAGTGGACAACGAGAACAATCATTTTCAACGTAATTTAATACCACATATTTAATCCGAAATGCGTATGTAATACATACAGGTGCGTCTTGCTTAACGTGTCATATTTTGACTGTGTTCTGTGGCGTATTTCTCTTGCAGGGGGCGTGCCCACTGAAGCCAGACAGTGTGACTACACAGGCCAATATTACTGCAGCACATGCCACTGGAACGACACCGCCATGGTCCCAGCGCGCGTCATCCACAACTGGGAGTTTGAATCACGCAAGGTAACACTCAACAACAGAATGCACTACATGCTGTATGTAAGAAATCCCTTCTTCTGTTTATTGAATCACGCTGACATTTATTACCACAGCATCTAACAGGTTGTACTACAGCATTTGAAAACCGTCTCACTGTGTCTTCTGTTGCTAATGAGGAGTCCTCCTGAATTGATGAAAGGAAATCCGTGGTCCTCGTTCTGAGAGTTTCTCTGTTGCAGGTTTGCCGCTCGTCGATGCGCTACCTGGCCCTGATGATCTCACGGCCTGTGCTGAAGCTCAAAGAAATCAACCCGCTGCTATTCAACTTTGTGGAGGAACTGGTCGAGATCAGGGTGAGCAGCTCTTATGGTGTGGAGTGTGTAAAGTAAAGATCTCAGTGTACATAAAAACCAAATCCACAGCTCTTATTATCTTCAACAGCATTGTCAGTTTTAGCCCAGAACCACTTCTTAAAAGTTAACAACGACAGCCGCAGTGTAATTGTTGTTCATTAACAACCCGATGTTTTGTGTCAGATGCTATTATGTTGAAACCAGCACAGGCAATGAGATCGGAAATCATCTGCATCTCTGTGCATTCAGTGATACTGACAGCAATGTGTGCACGTGGGTTTTTTTTCTTCACAGAAACTCCGACAGGATATTCTGTTGATGAAACCCTATTTTATTACCTGCAAGGAGGCAATGGAGGCTCGGCTACTACTACAAGTGAGCATATTTTTTTGGTTTGCATGGCGGAGTCATTTTTAATGGCACGATTTGTGCCCAAGAAGTAAACGTTTACAACAGTACCACCAGGTGGTAAAGGGTGAGAGTTTGAGGTTTTTAGGAAAAGGTTCCTGGTGTAAAAAACATTTTTAATAAAGGCCTCCGTCGGACCAACACCTTTCTGTGTTTGTGTTCCGCAGCTTCAAGATCGACAGCACTTTGTGGAGAACGACGACATGTACTCCCTGCAGGATTTGATTGACATCTCCAGCGGCAGACTCAGCTGTTCCCTCACAGAGATCCACACAACGTTTGCAAAGCACATCAAACTAGACTGTGAGGTGAGCTCTTTCATGCCGCACTAACAACAACACTAAGGACTTCTCTTTACCAGTAAGCTGGTTTCCTCTGCAGGTATCACACCTATCATCATAGTCTTGTGGTATCTGCTGTTTGGCATGTATTGACATGTACTACTTAAGCATATAACATCATCACATTGATGGTATTATTTGCTTAAGTACTGAGCCAGTATCTTTCCTGACACCCTGCCCTTCTCTCCCATTGCGTGTGTTTGTGCGTTGTAGCGTTGTCAGGCCAAAGGATTTGTGTGTGAGCTGTGTAAGGAAGGAGACATACTGTTTCCGTTTGACAGTCACACCTCGGTCTGCCACGACTGCTCTGCTGTCTTCCACAGGTTAGTCCCCACCCGCTCTTCACACTGAGACAATACGGCAAACAGAGTCATTGTTTCTTGGACGGCTTTTAGGTGGAGCTACTATTAATCCCAAAGACAAGCAGTCATTTAGTATAATCCAGTCTAAGATCACCAGTTGACACACCTTAACCTGCAAACAAAGACATCTAAAGGCAGGTTTGTCCCTCTCAACATAGTCCCAATTCATGTACCGCACTGTCCCTTTTTTCTTAAATGAAAAACATCACATTACTGAACAGACAACATTTAATACAAACTATTACAAACTGTTACAAAAATGTTGCCGTTTGTTGCTGTGTCTCTTTTAGAGATTGTTACTATGACAACTCCACAACTTGTCCGCGCTGTGCCAGGATGACGGATCGCAAGCAGGATGAAGAACCAGCTTGAAAGATTGAGAGGACCGACTGCAGCTTCTGGGAAGTAGAACTTTGCCTCACGTTGTGCTCTCGTTGAACGAGAAAGTCTTACAGGAGACTCCCTTTTAGTCGATGTCCTTGGTTGGTTTTGTGCATATGTTTTATACTGTAGTGTCTGTAACTTAATGTGCGTCACATAATGAGGAAGGGAGCTGAGAAACCCATCCGAACATTAACATATTTATATGTAGATATTTCTTTTTATCCAACTTTTTAATTCCTACTGAAATTGGGTGTATTGAACACTGTGTATTTGTGTTTGTGCGAGTGATTCGCATTAGTGTGTGCGTGCGCGCCTGCTTGTATAAATGTACAAAATAAATGCCCTATAGAGAGAAGCCATCTCCTCACATGGTGATCATGCGTGTAGGAGTTGTTGTACATAAACTAAAGCAAACCTCGACTGCATTAACCTACACTGCCAATTTTACCTGACTTTAAGGTAGCCATATGCAATGTTTGGTTTTACATCTTAATGACCACGTTCCAAAGACAACATTGTTTTCAGCTACCAGTTGTATGTTTTTATTTTGAAAAACTAAACAATGAGAAATCCATATAATTTGTTATACTTTTGATGTTTACTCACGTTCCGTCATCAGTGATCTTCATCTCACAAGTACTGCTCCTAAAGCAGAGCGCGGTCGCCCTCGGCTTATGTAACATGGCTATTTTCATGTCTCTTATTCTGTTTTGACATTTCATAAGGTCTTAAGTCTCTACTTTGAGTTTGTTGTCAATTCGTCAACCTTGATAACGGATAAAAGTTATCTTGCTTGCAATTCTTTTGCCAAAAGTTGTCTATACAATCATTAAAACCATTATTTGAAATATAAATACATAGTATTGTTAACAGATATACAATTAAAGCATGCATCACCAGTACATATATTAATGATTGTTTTACTGGGAGAAAATAAGATAAATGTGCTTTCCCTGAATTCCAAACTGTGAACTCATTTGAGGTTGATTGAATTGTGTTTAATCTGCTTCAGCTTAGTGTCGTTTGTTGCAAATAGGTGTCAATAACCATGAACATGCCTAAAATAGTCAGTTAATATACAGCTGTTCTACAAAAACGTCTTACTACTCTTAACATTATGTCAATGGTTTCAGTCTTAATGTACCAATAGCACATGTTGTCCAGAAATAACATCTTAAGTGGCAATATGTAACATGTAAATATTGATCTGAAGTATTTATTTTAAAATAATGTGTTTTGGCTGCGTTATCTATCAGCATGATGCAATGTATTTTCAAACTAAGTTACATTCATCATGTCGGTTAAAAGCTCTTCCCTGTTGTAAAATGTGGAGTACGGCATGAATAAAGTCATTAAATATGTTAAGACTACAGTGTCTGTTCGTGGAGCTAGTGGGGATCACTGGCATCTAAATAATAGCTGATGGTGCTCATCGTCTGCGAATGTTGATAACCGTTAAACACAGACGCTCTGGTATGCCATGATGTTAATAAAATGTTGCAGCAGAGAATACAATAAAAAAATCATGGGAAATATAATCTAGTATGCAAATGATGACATTCAATTATGTCAAATAGTTTGCTTAAAAATGTACGACCTTGTTATGATTGTATTATATTACATTTTCATGGCATTAGATATTTTATGTCATAAAAGAATATGGCTTGTTTTGAATCATTTATTATAGACTATATATTAATACTTCTTCTATAGTCATCATAAAGCTAGTTGTTGTAATTGTTTAATGTGTTGTTGGTGGCAGAACGTCTTTTAGAAAAGCAGATTGTAGGTAAAGGCGACATGGCGGAGCTGCTCGCAGCTCGTCCTTTCAGGAGAAGTCATCGTACGAGGGGTTTGTTGACGGGTTGGTGGAGTTTGAGGAGGAAACTTGAACTGGAACAGGAATAAAGGGGAAGAAAAAACAACACAAAATCGAGACAACAAAACCACCCTTTACATGTAGGTGGATGTGCAGCCTGAAGGCAAATATTCCACCGTATACTGCAGAATGTAGCTCAGCCACATCTGGTGCAGACCGTCAGGAATCTAAAAACAACATATCTTGTTTATTTCACAGGCAGCTGCAAAGGGAGGGATGATGCTGTGTTGCACAAGTGTTAAAGGTGCCTGCATAATACAATTGTTCAAGTTGTAGATTGTTTACTACGGGGGGGAATTCCAAAAAATTACTGTGTATTTGTTAGTTACACGCTGTGCTCGTACCATTTTACGTCAATTTCATTCTTTGACCCATGACCCATAAATCATTAAGACTAAAAGACTTCTCCTTTATTCTGTGAGTAAATACTTAAAATGTGTTTTCCCTGAGTGGAGGAACGTGATGTCTAAGTTTTGATACTTTTGACTTTTTAAATATTTCTTGTGTTGTCTCATTATACAGTACAGAATGGAGCACCATTCCCAAAATATAAATTACAAGATGAAATACAATTTTTCAAGAATTTTATTGATTCTTTTATTATCCTAGTGTCACATTTGATCCATCGTGTCACAGCATTCAGAATTATTGGCAACCCTGGTAAAGACAAGCTAAAGGTCAGATAAATAAAATAAAATAAAAGGAATCAGCTCCAAGCTTTTCTTAGAAAAAAGGGAAATATTGCATCAAGAGTTGAATAAATCTTTTCAAAGATGATTACAAAATAGTTGGCACTTTGTTGGGTTTTTCTCATTCACGTAAAGCTCACTGAAGTCAACCCGACTATCATTCGACCCTTCCCTTCATTTCCATCTGCTTCAAGTGTCACCGATCAAGTGAACGCGTCTACCAACTTTGATTGACAGACTTTGTCCACTTTAACAGCAGCAACTCCGGCAACGATCGCGTTAGGAAGGGATGAAAAAAAATCAGAGAACATGTTTGAGCGTGGTACGGTATATTGCTTATAGCCACTTGGTCAGTTTGCTGTTTGTGTCATCTGCACCGAATGCCAATAATTCTGCGAGGGAGCAGGCACTGTAAATACGATTCTGTGATTTCCGTTTAGGCAATTACAATAACAACACACCTTCTCCAAGATGGGGAAGGTGTGCTGAGTATAAAGAGCACTGGCCCCACTGGCATCCACTTCCACTGATGACGTTACCGTTATGGCCGAGAACAGAAAAGCAACCTGTCATATTTTCAAACCAACGCATTAAGCAACAGCCTCAGCGGGATCTTTTACTTTGACAGTTGCCGTGATTTATGTTTCAAATCATATCCGGGTAATTCAATGTGAGTCCCAGTTTCCGAACTCCACCAGCTACGTCCCACCCTGAGAGGCTGTGCGGATGCATGTGATGTTACTCCGCTGACGTCATACCCTGTCATTCACAACCAAGCTATAGTGCATTAAGAACTCCTTCCATGAAAATCACAATAATTGTGTTGGTTTGCATGTGAGAGAGAAAGACAGCAAGAGATAGAGAGGAAGAGCGAGTGTGTATTGTACATCTCAACACCCTTTGGTTAAAATACAGACCTAGCTGTCCTAGAGTCCGACCTGAACTCTCAGCACCGTGGTGATGTGGGTGCACAGTGGCAGATGGGGGGGAGGAGGGGGGACCTCTTGGTCCACTTTGTGTTGGTCCCTCTCTGGCTGTGTGCGTCTGGCTCTGGATCTTATCTCTCTCTGCAGCCAGCCTGTTTCGCATCAGATGTCACAGCTGCTTCGGCCTCTCCAGCCTTGTCAAGGGCTCGGCGGTGTCCGAGTCACTGTGGTGCTTTCGCTCTCGCGGCGGCTCGACCTTGCTGCACCGTGTCCAAGAAGGGGAGCGCATGCACCCAGCTCTGGGCAGCAGAGGATGGTGGGAACCTGGGAACACAACGTTGACTTGTCACTAAAAGGAATGCAGTCTTGGCAGGTGCAAGGATGGAGACGGACACATAGCGCTAAACCTGCTGAAATGTTTACATGCACCAGAAGCCCTGATAGATACAGCTGTTCCCTTCCAGCCATTAACAGCCTTTAGCCTTTTGCAAGCGTGCACTCACACATACCAGCCTTCAGGGTTACTGGGAGTAGACCAATGTATAAGTAATTACCCCCAAATAACATATTTATTTTTGTCTTTGTTATCCAGCCTGTCAGGGGGACAAACAGTCAGGAGGCATAAAGACTGACAGAGCTAAAGAATCGCTCTGCCTTCCACCGCCTGTACCAGTCTAACGCAGGATCTCTTGAGTGAAGGTCATGCTAAGCACGTCGTTTATACGTCTCCCCAGCCACATCCATATGCTCGCACGCATTCAAGACTGAGAAAGGAAAATACGAGCGAGAAAGGGTCCACGAGAGGTATTGATCTCAAAAGATTGATGGCGTCGTGGGGGGGTTAATGGAAGAGAAGGGACGACAACCTCCTCAGCAGCGTGAAGGATGCTGCTGCAGCAGGCACCACCAACAGAGATGTTCATGTTTGTTGTGCATATGATCTTAATGGACTGATTCAGATTTATGTGGACCTGTTTTTACCCTGATACCTAATTAAAGGAATGATGTAAATTAATTATTTCAATAATTAAAACATCTAAATAGTTGATCTCATGGTCAAAGAAATGTTTTCCTAACTGAGGGGTAAAGTAATTAGATTCTTCCCAACAACATACAAAGATTTTTCCGCTCTCGTGCAGCATACTGCACACAAGTACCCTGATCTGCTGTGGGGTGCTGCGCTGCATTCCTCTTGTGGCTAGCTGATACCATGTTGCTGCATAACTTCATGTTTTCGAGACACACGCAATAGAAATAAAAAACAACGTTGTGTAGATATATGCAGGTGCAAAGTGGTATTAAACCGATATAAGATTTATTTTCCTCTCCTTGTGTCAAGTTAGTTTTATACTTGAAACATTGTCGTTGCCCCACAGTATCGGCCAGCCATCTCAATAGCCATCTTATTTAGATAGAATTGTACCATTTCTCTGCTAAAGTGGTATCTGGGGCAGAATTAAAGATAGAGGAGCCGAGAGACCGTGTGAAGGAGAGGAGGAACAAATACAGCAAACAGGTAGAAGAGAGATTTTTGAGAGCAGCCCTGAGCAAAATGATAAATCTCACATCAAAAGGTAAAAACACTTTTTGGGTGGAAGAAATGTTTGCGCATTCTCACATGGAGGATCTATTTGTATTCCCAGTTCATGCAGTACAAGAAGCATAAAAACACAAGCGTGAAGGACGCACCCTGCTCATTGTAAGGTGGCCGTTGCTTTCATAAATAAGAAAATCAGATCACATATATATATATATACATGCTGTGTGAATTAAATCACATAACAATGGTATACAGGAGTACGTCTCCTCACAGCAGGACTTCATCTTGATTAGCAGGGGAGCAGATGTGAGAACTCGGCTCTAAAGGAGCGGCTGCGACCAATTAACGGGAGCCTGAGGGATCTTGCTAAGGCGGTGTTGGAAAGCACAGGTGTGAATGGTTGACAAGCTAAAACTGTTATTCTAGTCAGCTGTGGGAACATGAGTTAAAAAAAAATGAAATTAGTACGTCACATGTAATTTACCGACTTGTTGTTTTAAGGCTCATGTTTGCACGTAAAGGGGCAAATTCAAGTAATTGCCGATGTAGCTGCAGAAGAAACATTGCACAGATGGACGACTGGTACCACAGCTCACTCATAGCAAGCTGTGCATTTTGCATCATTAGTAATAAACAGAATATAGAAAGAAATGATAAAACACTCTTGTTGCAAAAGAAGCAGGAGGATAAGAAATGCAAGAAAAAATAGAAGTAGAGTAGAAGAAGAGTGATAGAAGTAAAGAGAATATAATGACAAACTACATTTATAATATTATATTATAAGAATAATTTCTCCACGTGAATGTGAAGTATATGTTACATCCAGCATCTTGTTTGAGCAGCAGTCCACCATCAGGTTCTCTTTGGGTCACTTTGAACAGAATAATGAACAGCTATTTGGAGCTCTTTCATATTCTCAACCAAAGCACGAGGATGAGTTGCACCCTAGTAACGTAATTGAAAGCCTGACATTTTTTTTTGAGACAAATGTGTGGTTTGAAACTTTCCACACAGGCCATGCACAGACTATAGAATATCTTAAAAACGTTGTTGAAACTGTATCGGATCTCTAAATTTCCTGCTGGTTTGAAGTCCCGTGCGCATACAGAGAGGCAGAGAGGAGGAGAGAGTTCACTGTCCGCATGTGTGATGAGGCTCACAGGTCATGAATAAAACATGTCAAAGAGTTTGTGCATCCTCGTGCGAATTAGGAGAAAGATGTGCAGGCCTCCACCTCAGCCTGCTGTCTGTTAGTGCATGAAGATTAAAATTGTTTCTCATAAGAACCAAACAACGTGAGGAAATTTAAAAATGAAAGTTCAACCTTTTAAGGGCATTCATACCAGACACTGTGAATGATGTTTTTGATGCCTCCCTTAAGGGAGTCGCGTGCTATATTGAATCATTAAGGCTCAGCAACGCTTTTTAAGTCACTGCCAGGTCATGATGTTGTGAAACTCTTCCCTGGGTCACTGAGTAACACCACACTCTAAAGTAGTGTTTTATGTATGCATCTTCACTCCTACAGTCACTGAGTCGAGATAGAGGACTGCAGGGAATAAAACCAGAGGGCAAACGCGTGCAAAGAAAATATTACAGGATGTTGTTTTAATTTAATTTTTGTTTGCATTCGTATGAATTTAAATGTGTGAATACTGTAGGCAAGAAGAGGCTCTCGTTCCCTTCATTTTTTAATAATACATTGGTTGTCATTCCCTTACCCGCTGGGGACTCATTGTGGATGTCCTCATCAGAGTCGGCAAAAACCTCAGCCAGTTCCTGGTCGGACATGTCAGTCAGCTCGGTCAGGTCCAGCAGGTCAAAGTGCACCTCCAGCGAGGACACACTACTCAGTGGCTCTACGAGGCCGGGAGAGAAAACAGCATACTTTAAGTCTGGAGCAAGGCTGAGAAGTTAAAATCATCCACAAATTGTGAAACAGTGAAGAAGAACAGCAGCTCCTTAAAAAGAAGTAGAGGAGAGACTGCATACATCGCTCCCCAGCCCATCATGTACTACTCTTAAATCTTAAATGAACTCATAATGAGAACAATTGTTGGCTCTTTCAGTGCTACTGTAAAATAGATTTTGACAACAAATATATTTATTCAGTTTTTCCTGAAAAGTTCAGTGTTCTCTACTTTGGAAAAGGATGCTAACACGCAGATTACTTGAATCTTCCCCAGACGTCGGCACTGCAGTCAGTGCCTCTGTTTCAGACACCTGTGACTTTCATGCGGGCCGTCACGGAACAACTGAAACAAGAGCTAAAGTCAGAGGAGATGAAAATAGCCATTTATTTAACACATTGTGCTCTCCATCCCTCCCCGGGGTGTGATGCACCTGTTTATTTCACCACAAGATTCCCATCCACACTGCCGCACACAACAGGGTCAAATGCACATGAGGCGCGCCAGGCTCTGCATTCCCATCAGCTTAACATCTCAATGTGACATTTGTAAAAGGAAATAAATTCAAAGACACTGTAACGCGTAGAGCCGAGCGTCGGTCTGTCACAGCATCGCTCAAGCTGGGAACCGATTCTGTGCGATACATCTGAACAAATCTACCACTAGAGTGAGAAAGTGTTTTAGACAATGCGTCACGTTGAAGAGGCAAAACACGCTGCTACTGCTGCTGACATCTCGCTCACCGTCGTCCTTCAGCAACTATTGATTTAAAGTAGATTATCAGTAGCTTTTCATTGTGCCGTGTTTCAGATATATTAAAACGATTCAAACAGAAAGAAGGAGGCAGTGACAATGAGAAGATGCAAATAAGAGAGCAATGAAAATTCAGAGACTTTGAAGTATGAAGTCTAAAGGTGCCCTTGTCTTTGCCCCCAAACCATCTGCTTGCCCCAGAAGTCTTTACCCGTATTCATTACCCAGACAGGGTCACATGCTGGTCACGACCCACCTAGATATAATATGCACAACCATGGCACCTTACGGGAAGCATTAAAGGCGTTGCAGAAAATATTGTAGATTGTAATGTCCACAAGAAGAGTGTAATAGGCACAGAAAATACTAGAAGACTAACCAATGAGACACAGCGAAGACGGGAATAGAACTAAAACTGACTGGCTCAATCAACTTGTTCCTCCATATTTAACAAGTTAGAATTATTTTAACAAAAATATATTAATTTATATTCTGACAATGAACCCATAACATACCCTACGCTCTGATCTGGATATCTAGACACACATACAAAGCAAACCGGTTAGAGACCCTCTTGAGGAGGACCAGCAGCACAAAGTGGGGGAGCCAATGGCCTCAAGCCCTTTTCCAACTTTGTGCGCGAAAAGAAATCTAGAGAAAAGAAAAGAAATCTACAAATTTACCGCCTCCCAGTCAGACTCAGAAGAGAAACACGGCCTTTTGGCAGGAGCCATCTGAGATGTCATTGCAGGTGTAATCTATGCCATGATTGTGGCCCTGTTCCATTTAGTCTAACAAGACCTACTAATAGTGAATGCTGGCTCACTGGTATGACTGCGATATACTTATTGGAAGGGGACCATGATCAAGCTGCTATACCACTGTCACTGTCGGTAAGAATACAATTATGTTAAATGTGATCTTCAGTACTATTGCCCAGTTCTATTTAATTCATGGAAGGTTTTACCTAATGTCTTGTTTTTAAAAGGCACTGCATGAAGGGTTAAGCTAACGAGTTTCCCTCCCCACACCATTAGCCGCTGCACCGCTAATCACTACATGGCAGCAGTGGCAGTCAGAATTAAGAAAATGTGTCTCCTGTCTCATAGTGATTGGTTACACTTTGTGCAGGAACCACATTCTCTTTAATTTAATGATTTTTTTATATTCAGATTTTCCATTTATTGCTTGGGAATATTTTCTTTTCTGAAGGAGAGAAGAAACTGAAGGCAGTGAAACAGGGAGTTTAATAATTGCGGAGGAGGGGATGAAGAGAAACTGGGGAGCTGCAGGATGATGGTAGAAGAGATGAAGCTATGTAGGAAGGTTGAAAAACAAGAAGGCAATGAAAGCAAGAGGACTTAAATGAAAGAAGGCATGATCCCCTGGATCATTTAAATGCTATTATTTCCAACAGACTACAAGCTTATTCCCATTCTTTTGTGTTTGTTTTTTAACCATCTCTTCCCCATATTTCTTTTTGCTCTCCCACACCCTTTCTCCTTTGAATAATTGATCAGTGCCTTTGCTCTCCCAGGCAGACGCACTGAAACAACTGCCTCCATCTCAGAGGCCAATCAGGCGAGCCTTAAGATGCCAGTGAGGACGCCTGACAATGAAGATGCCGCGCTGAGGCTTCAGAAGGACACTGTGCCTGGGGCAGATGGAGGATGTAAAGGACCACTGCCTTGTCCTACAGTTGGAATAACATATTCTTATTTATTTTAAGTTTGCCCATAATCTTACATTCACGACTTTGAAGTCTATGTAGGTGGGATGAACGTGCCTTTGAATTGACTGAAAAGTAAAATCAACACAAAAAGATTTACCTTAATTTTTGTTCTCTCTTTCTTTTCTGCCCATGTAGTAAGCTACAGATTTATTCAACGGAAGGAACAAATAATGGAAGGGTAGAGGGAGGCGTTGACATTTGGTAGAAGGGAGCAGAGAGGATATGACTTGCATGCTGGATGTATGCGACGCCCTTCCTTTTCTACCGGCTCATCAGCGCTCTGAGGTGATTGGACTGAGCTGAGATAGTACATTATACAGCATTTCTTTCTTAATCCTCACTTTTCTTGTGCTAATTATTTTATGTTGCATTGTTTGCAAATCAGCAACGGATAAGTAAGTCATTTTTGCCTTTGAGGACGCACACATGGCTAAATCCATCAGAACCATGAAAAATGTTACTTCAATAGAAACAAGTCAGCTGGAAATATTTGATGAAAGGCTCACTGGGCTACGGCTGCTCGACATGTTGTAGCTGAAACTGTAAAATAAACCATACAAAGGTCTTTGACACCCACATGTCTCAATTCTTCCTTTTGACTCTTGGTTTCTGCTATTACAGATCAATACAAATGAGTAAACACTTTTTCTTACGGCACCACCGCACAGCAGTCACCATATATTCTTTATCTGTCCACCCATTACCAATAAAAGAAGGGAAATTGTTTCGGCACGCATGTTTTTTTTTTAATGCATTACTGCATCTATGGTTCCTGCATTTGTTGATCTTCAATGCTTTAGTTCCAACACACTAACAACTTGCTCCTCTCTGAGAGAAAACAGCAGTACAAGGCAGGGTTTTGTTTCTGTAACAAGACAATGACCTGAGTTAATAATCAGCATAAACCGTAAATAGCATGGACCTTTTTACGTGATTCCCGATCTCTCACTATATATCTCACGGGCAATGAATGGACAGTAACAAGCGGGTGATCATTGGGATTAAATGTTTATTTAGGACGGGATCTTTTCCTTCAGATTATAATCTGACCGGCCAAGTGATACAACCAGCTAGTAGGTCACGTCAAAACATCCTGACCCAGACATTAGCCTCTGGATGAGCTGTTTCTCCAAAAAAAAAGTGTTTGGTAAGTGAAGCCAATAAACGTTGTCTCACCCGTGAATCTGTCTGTTGGCCCTCGGCTCAGAGGCGCACAGGGAGGCTTCTGTAGGGTATTGATGCACAATGAGTCCTTTCAAGCAACGCTAAGCTGCAGTGGTCTTTGAGAATGTGGCACCAGAAAGTCTAAAATACTTTAGTGGTTTGAAAGACCAGAGAAGATCAACCCAGACTCTACCGGGACTTTATCTCGATCAGGTATCTTGCTCGAAGTATGATGATGAATATTCATCGCTTTTGACTCTTAACACTGCCTTCCCTTCACCCCCCCGTACTCACGTCTCTTCTCGGTGATGTGCAGCAGGCTGGCAGTGTGCCCCGACAGGACGCCCTCCTCTTCCTCCCCAGCCTGCCAGTGAAAAGACTCCTTGGATAGGTCACCTGAGCCGGACGGCTTCAACAGCTTCTGGGTGTCTTTGTTGGGTTCTATCACATACATGTACACAGAAACGGATGGTAAGAAGGAGCAATGAGACTAAAAAGGTGTAAATATTCGGAATAGTTAATAGATTTTTAACCCAATGTTATATTAGAAAACTGTGCTTTTATGGATGTGGGCTTCGTTGAAAGCGAAAAGTTTGTTAACTTGACTGTTGTCAAATGTCTGATTCAACAGTTATATTATTGTCATGTTAGATAATGCGTTCAAGTTTTTTCAACTTCAAGAAAGGAGAAAGGTCCTCACAGGCTATGAACAAGTCTGAAAATAGAGGGTATTTAAAATAGCATCCCTTCAAATTCAGGAGTGTGCACAATATCTGTTGGCCTATTTAACACAGCTAAAGTACAGTAGGGGATGTGATTAGGTTGAGTGAGGTAAAGACAGGAGTACGGAAGTGCTGCATATGTAGTTTATGGATTACAGAGAACTGAGATGCCACGTAAACTATCTGCATTTCTAAATTAGGGAAGGCTGAAGTGACCCGATTCAGACCTTTTGGATTAAATCCTGGAATGTATTTATCAACAACACACACTGGTGCTACAGTTTTAAAGGTTAGATTTAAAAGAAAATGATCATTACTTAAAACAGATCTCTCTGTATGAAGGATTGTTTGGCACAAATGCATGTATTTTCTTAGTGCCATAATACTTTATGATAATATGTGGAGCTGATAGAGAGACGTGTGGAAGACGAGCAGACTCTGGATGGGAATCACCAGATGGCGGCTGAATCTTGTTTTTCTCGCAGTTTGCTCCTGGACAGTTGGACAGTTGCTCTTCTCATTTCAGATTAAAAGTGTTTTATAGCCAAAGCCAGAACAAGATGGATTTGACTGAGAAGAACAATGTTCATTGGTGGCTATTGATTGATTTCCACAGCGAGGAGCCACAGAAACAGAAGTCACCTCTGCTGGTATAATGAAATGTTTGTTCAATATTTAGACTGGCAGCTCAGGTTTTGATTTCTAGACACTTCTTCAGCAAACACAAATCCCCAGGCAACAGTTCCTGACCTTTTACCAATTGCTTTTAGGCAGTTTATCGTCCATCAAAACGGAATTGTCATCACAAGAATAGCCCCCTGTTGGTGTTGCAGTGCATTCATAAAAAAACATTTCCCGTGTTTTAATGAGCTATTTTTTTGTTCTACAAGTAAATGTAAAATACACATGACGTTTTGTCACATTTTGTCTTCATTTATGCCCAAATGTTTAATGGAAGTCTCTTGAAGATGGTTCTGGCGCTCAGTCAGGATGGTCTACACTGGTAAAATCTAAAATATGGCCTTTTCCAACTGTTGCTTCCCCTGCCTGAGCTGTCAGCTGTGAAACATCTGATCTTCCACCAACAGATGGAGTTAAACGAAAGAGAGAAACATTTGCCAAAATTGAATCAAACTCACAGTCTCGGTTTCATAAATCATTCGCTGACTGTATTGCAGACAGGAATAATTAACATCCTCAACACCCTTTTTCAGCAGGGAATTTTGCATGGGAAACAATATAGTTGAGTACAGTATTTCCATTAAACTGTCTCTGAAAGCAGATGTCCAGATTACTGAGCAGTGAATACGTTAAGAAGAGGATAACTCCAGGAACATTTTTTTCTGAACAGTTTATGGTTGTTGGGGCATTTTTCAGCAATATTAACTGCAATCCTCCAGAATAAAGCTAGAAATACTACTTTGTTCTGGACAGCCCTGTTGCTCACAAGAAGTCACACTTCCTTCACCTGACTTGTTCTATTAATGATGTTCACTCTAATCCAATCATCACAATAAACAAATAATAACCCAATCTTAATGGGCGGGTAATTCTGGCCATGTGCATGAACATGTAGTGCTCATATGCTGTCTGTCAAAAATGATAAGTGACAAAGCAGGAAAAACATGATATCCCATTATTGAAATACTAACAAATAATCTACCCTTTGCCTACATTATGAGAGGGGTATTCTTTTATTCATCCTTGCTAATGTTCTGATGTGTGTTAGATGCCTTCCAGCAATGAGCCGATACACTGTGTATAGACACCGTTATATCATCCGCCCTTTGTGAACGTTTGATTGTTTAGATGTTACAGTGGATTAGCACTGAGGCATTGTGCAGTTCTACCACACAGCACTGGTGTCTCTGGATGCACGAAACACAAAGACCATATGAGTCCACTATTGTACTGGAAATTGTATTTCATCAGTCCAGCTTTTGGATGGTTGGCTTCAGTGTGCGGATAGAAAAAGACCTGTGAGGGAGTGGATTACACGTGGAGCTTAGCTGCAGAGATGAACCCTCCACAAATGGATCCTGAGAGAGGAAAATCATCAGAAACGGTCCCACTGCACTGCTATGTTTAAGCCAAACGCATGTCAGTGAATGCATCATGCCTAGACATTTAGAATGGGAATGTAATATCATTATTTCTAAAGTATCCATATAAGTACAAACATATTGAACAAGCGGTTAGGAGAGATTCTTACTTGCAGCAGTGTATCCATAGAACAATTCATTCAAAGGACAGACACCATGCTAATGTGACACTGTGAACGCAGAGAACAGAAAGAATAAAAAATGTCTCTTACCTGGGCTCCCTGCCCCTCCCTGAGCCTCCATGCAGCTCAGCCGAGTGTCTAGCTGTTCACCACACCAGCATCGGAGAGTGGAGGAGACAAACGGGGAGGGAGGAAAGGAGAGGCAAGGAGGAGAGTGTGTGCATGTGAGAGAGAGAGCAGGGTGGGGTGGGTGGGTGGGTGGACACAGCGAGACCACCGCTCTCTAAAGACTCCTCCTTTTTTTTTTTGTCCTTCGTTGTTCTAGATTTCCCAAACAGGTGATGGCAGTTTCTGCTCTCTCTCAGTCCACCTGCACCGCTCTGAGTGCTGCACTGCCTCACAGACCGAGTCCACCACAGAGGGGCAGGTGTGGCATCAGCAGCATCCCTGCACATGTGCCTTGTTTTAGTAGATGCAGCATTGTGAGGCTTGGTGTGTACAGAACCCAGAGAGAGAGAGAGAGAGAGAGAGAGAGAGAGAGAGAGAGAGAGAGAGAGAGAGAGAGAGAGAGAGAGAGAGACAAAGAGAGAGAGAAAAGGAGAGACAAGGAGAGAGAGACAGGGGAGGGCTGTGTTGGCAGCCCGCCCAGACTGAGGGGGAGAGAGAGAGAGAGAGAGAGAGAGAGAGAGAGAGAGAGAGAGAGAGAGAGAGAGAGAGAGTGGGGGGTCAGGGAGGACTATGGACCACTGGAGTGAGGAAATTGTGTGCGTGTGTGTGTGTGTGTGTGTGTGTGTGTGTGTGTGTGTGTGCGCAAGTTTAACATTCCCAGCTCAGGCTTTATCGCCTAGATGACCGTAAGGTTTACTAAAAAGGTAAGATAAGATTTGCGGCATCAAACACAGTTTAATGACATAAAAAATGGCAAACTGTGTTATGGGTTTGCGGTAGGTTGCCGATCAGCATGAAATTGAGTTGTTTTTGTCAGCTGAGGGTGAATCTGTTAGTAGACAGCGACCTCTAGTGGCACAATCCGGCCCCCCTTGGGTGGTCATGTGATCCCAGAAACCCACCAGAAACAGGACCGCACCCTATTTCTACTCATGAAGAACCAGAAGAAGCAGTGACATTAGATAAAGAGTACTTCATATTTAGTAAGAAAACACCAGATTAGATTTAGCAGCTCTAAAAAGTGAATCCCTTGACTTTTCATCTGTTGTTACCAGAGTCTTATTGGTAAATGGACTTGTACTTTTTTAGTTTTCTGACCACTGAAAACACCACAACACTACAAGTCATGAACTAATGATATTCCCATCAGCCTCAGATATGCTTTTTGTTTATTGCTATGTTAGCATGCTAACATGCAGTGAACAGTGTGACAGTGGCCTACATCCTACCTTCTTCACGACAGCATGTTGGCTCTCTTGTTGCCATGGCTAAACATTTTGAGTCTTGTTGCTATAAGGGTTCTCTCAAGAAATATTACATTGGCGTATCATATATTACATGTTCTTACACTGCAGGCTGCAATCTAAGCAATATATGTCACATTAGGTTATCCTGCAGGACACACATTTTCATTTAGTGATATCCGAAACCTAAAGCAGAGTCCCTCCTACACTGGCCTTTGTGTTTGATGATTTAATTGTGAGTTGTCTGTCTAGAACCAATTGTCTTCAAGCCTTCTCATTTCAGAGAGATTTTAACTGGAAAGCTAAGTTACCACGTTATTTTCGAGTTGTATTTTTTTGTTATGTACTTACAATATGACATTTATTTATTGTACTTTTTAATACTGCAAATAAAAGTAATTAGTTAAATTCACTTTAAATGTTTATTAAATCGTATAATGCAGTTATGTATTAAAGTGCTAATAATACAAAGACCCTTATAAGTTCCCAAGTATAATTTTTTTTCCTCTCATGTCTGATTGTGTAGAAAAGTGCCCACCAAATGTCAAACAATTCTTCACAAGGATGTCAGACAATCTGTAACTACTTCACAACCTACAAACATAACCATCGATTACAAAATCAAGACCAAACACCACAAAGGGCTCACATATGCTCATGTTTCATGAGGTAAAGCCCACTGTGAAGAGATGGGATTCTTTCACGGGAGTAGATGATACACACACCACAATGCTGATACCAACGACACCTGCCTAAAAATACAGGAGAAAATGGAAGTTAAAGTTGACATTACAGTGCTTCTCTGGAGTTCAATAACTAGGCTGAACAGCACGTGCTATTAGCTAACCGTGTTAACTACCGCAAGCTAACCGAGTAAACGCCTGTTTTCCCCAGCGGGCCCCGGGGCGCTGCGCTGCAGGGAGCGAGCTGCTGGTCGGAAAGGTGAGCTGCGGTCACGAGCCACAACGGCGAACCAGACGCCGGATCCTGCGCACATGTGCACAAAGCGAGCAGACGCTCCGATAACACCACACGCACAGCGATTATCTACCGAGCAAAATACATGTTTGCAACTTTATTAAAGTTCCCATTGGTTTGTGTTGATCCCCTAAGCGGTGTCGTACCACCGTGCGGGAAGGCTCGTCAGGCATAAACGCTTTCGGCTTCGCCTTTGGTTAAAATTGACCATCCCGAGCTTCCGTAGCAGCGAAAACATTGTCAAGCAGCTGTTCCGTGCGTATTATGTTACAGAGCTCACGTGTGCGACTTTACTGCGTATAGTGCTGTAGCGGAAAATAATGTCTACCGTCATTAACACAATGGAGCCTGTCATAAAAGTGGAGCCCGTCATAATAGTAAATCCTGGTAGGTGAAATGATCTAGATGTGTGTTTTGACGTTGGAAATGAATGTCGATGCATGCTAATGTTTAGCATGTTTAAATGTTTGGCTAGTGCTGCTTCGTCTAGCTTCACTTGTACATTGTTGAAAAACCGGTTCCGTGGTTGAATATATAACGGTACACTTGCATTACCAGTAACACAATGCAGCATATTATTGAAGTATAACCGAAAAAAATGATGTATTGATGATTTTGTTATAGCGCTGTGAATGAATGTCGACGCATGCTAATATGTAGCAGTTGTCGCCGTGTGGCTAATTTTGGCGAAACTTCACTGTGAGCCTGTGATTAAAGCTCGTGCGGTTTTCTCTACAGGAGCGACGAAATGGGACATTCGTCAGAAAGTTTGGGACTACATCGAAGATAATAATCTGGCCAATTTCCCCAGGCCTGTTCACAACAGAATCCCAAATTTCAAGGTAATTGAGCAATGTTTGCAGTGCACCACAAACCCAGTATTGCCTTTTTATCTAGCGGTGAACCAAATTAATACACTGCTAACTAACGAATCAAATATGCAGTATTACAGTCGACATTGTTGCGATGGCTTTCATCTGCTTATCTATTCAATAATGCATTTCATTCGTACAGGGTGGTGTGCTCACTGTGACTTGTTAACTGTCTGTTTTGCATGGGGGGCCACGCTACTCAGGACATTATGTAGTAAGTAATAAAACGGAAATTAAACACACAGTTTACTACAAACCACACTTCTGGTCGTAACATCTTATGTACACCCACGGATCCATATCATTAATACAACTAAAATGATTTATTTTAAATTAAAGCAATGTTTTCCTAAATCAGTGGGTTAATAAATGCACAGGTCACAACCTGTCTTCCATATGTTAATAATATATAATAATAAATAGGAATGTGAACTATTTGCTCATAACTGGTTAAAAAGAAAGTAACTGGGTCAAATAATTGCTAAAATAATGACACCATGAGGTTTTCACAGCAGCCTTTAACCACTTTTGAATGAATAATGTCTTGTTTGTATTTGCATCTATGTTTTTTTACTGTGTACGTACTGGCCAGGGTGCAAGTCAAGCATGCAACAGGCTTGTAGACCTGCAGGAGTTCAAGTCCAGCCAGACAATCAAAGTAAACCCAGACAGACCTCAGCAGCAGGCACGCTTTGTCGCTCTGGAAGTAAGTCAATGCTGAAAAACAAAGAACAGTTGTCAGTCCTTGTGCTCTCCTCTCAACCAGGGGGCTTTCACAGCCTGTACCAAGGTGTCTGAGCTGCAGGTGTTCACCCAGGCTACTGAGGTGAAGGTGGATCCCGATAAACCCCTGGAGGGTGCCCGGCTTGCCGTGCTACAGGTAGCACTTTACTGTGGAAACGCACACAAAGAACCTTTGTGTCCAAAGATGTATTACAAAAAATGTCTCCCTCTCTTTCTAATTATGTCATTTTCAATTTGAGGAATGGTTTATTTTAGAAATTGTGATAGAAGTACAGAAGATTTATCCTATTTGACTCCTTTTAACGTGTTAAATAAGACTTGCGTGTTACATACCGGTATTTAGTTAGGAAGCGACAATTCATGGACATCCGTGCTTTACATTCCCGGTTTTGGAATATTTGTAATTTTTGCCATCTCACTGAATTTATTCACCTTGTTACTGTAAATTTATCTAATGCATTTTTTTTTGGGAAAAATCTTTCACAGGCGCAGAAAACTTTATTGGTCCCGACTCCTCGTCTTCGTACTGGCCTTTTCAATAAAATCACACCTCCCCAGGGGGCCACCAAAGAACAGCTACGCATATGCTCTTCCTCACAGGTTTCAACAAGTTGATTTTACAACCTGTTAACATTTCCTCACATAATTTCCTCATGATTTATGAATCCGTAAGTGCTAACACATTGCAAATATATCTTCTCTTACTGTTGTCTGAACTTCTTCCATCAGGGTGTGAGAGACTTCAGTGTGCCTTTTGACCTGGATGAGAAGGTGAAGGTCGACCTGGTAGTGGTCGGCTCTGTGGCGGTGTCAGAGAAAGGTGACCAACGACCCACCGCTTCACAATAACAAATGCACAATAAATAAGAAAAGCCGTAGTGGCGGAGTCGCCCCTGGAGGAGATGTGTATACTACTGACCTGCCTTCTCTTTCTTTGTATCACTGTTTTAAAACTACCCTTAAAAGAGGTTCTCCTATTCTGCAGGCTTGCGGATTGGAAAAGGAGAGGGCTTCGCTGACCTGGAGTATGCCATGATGGCCTCCATGGGAGCTGTGAATGAGTCCACTGTGGTGGTGACTATTGTCCATGACTGCCAGGTCAGTTTACTACTGTTCTGAGTACATACTGTCATGGCTTTTTTCTTTATCAAGTAAAGGTGATTTATTAAGTGATACTATCTGGTGGATATAGAAAGTATCTTTTTTGACAAATCTTTTGGGAGTTCTAGTGTGTAATGGCAAATGCGTCACATAAATTCCAACTTCAAAAGTTGTCACAAGCAACAGAAATATTATATACACCAAGCAATGTTCTCCTCTATTAATTCTCTATTGTTGATGAAACGCATAATTACTGACACGTAGTCCCTGTGGGATTGTGTGCTTCCAGGTGGTGGATATTCCAGATGAGATAATGGAAAGCCATGACCTGACTGTGGACTACATCCTCACACCCACCAGAGTTATCAAAACCGATTGCCAGGTGCCCAAACCACAAGGAATCTTCTGGAATAAGGTACATTTAAATAACTGTCTTTGCTCTGTCTATTGCTCCTTCTAGTTCGCAGTACAAGCCTTCAGAGTGGCAGGTCAAACGTCCAGTTTAAGTTGGGTTATTTTAAGTATTTCATCAACCAAAATGTAATAAAACATTACATCCATTTAAGCATTGTAGTTTAAGCGCCAACAAGAGACGTAGTAAAAAAACATGATCCAAAGCTGGCTTGATTTAAAAACAACCATCAGTGAGTCTGTCCTTATGTAATGTTTTAATCCTAAACTGTAACAGACATAAGTTGTATAAATGGAGGAAGAAAGGGTTTAAAGACACGGGTATCAGACTTAGGAGACAACCATTTAACACACGTACGCTGTGATTTAAACCACTGTTTCACTAGTTCAAGCGATTTCATCTCTACAGAATTTTTCACTGCAACATTGCCCTCTAATGGACATGTAGCGGCACCACATCTCATCCGAAGAATCACTTTTTTTTTATTGCATGAATGCATTTAATTTATCTGCTCTATTAAGTTTCACATTGCTCTTTTTCTTTATTTGCAGTTCAATTTTTTGATCTAGAATATTACCTGTTAGGTTTTATATACGTTGCATATGTATTATGTAGTAAGAAGCTTAGCAACCTATATCTCCTGTATATTTGAATGGGAGTCAAGACCAACACACCGTGGAGTTTTTCCACTTGATGATTTATCTTTAATTAGACACAATGGTGGCATTATTCTCAACGTGTTGATATTTTATGTGTGTCCCCTGTGCTCCTTAAGACATGCATGTAAGTAAACAGGACCCAGTGACCTCATTGGCAGGAAGGCCATGTTTGATCATCAAAGGCGCCCCTGCCCAGCGAGATGGTGTCCGCTGGGGCAGGGGAACGGCGGGTCAAACAGGCCAGTCTAAAAACAATAGTCCAGTATATCCTTTACATGACAGGTCTGTATCAAAGGCTGCCAAGACACTTTACAAGCCCAACAAATCTAGACGGTAGCCTTTTATTTTTAACTGCTTGGGAAATGACATGGCCTTCTGCTATATAGATTATTGCAATGGCGTGCACTGTGAACAGGATGGAATAATTCCATTACATATTTCAGCTTTTGCATTATTAATCAAATGTCATCTGTAGGTATGGCACGTGTGTGTGTGTTTGACACTACTCCTTTCAGCCTTACTGAAACTTTGAAGTTGTGTTTCTTCAGCTGAACAGTGAAAAGCTGGAGAAGATCCCCATCCTGAAGAAGTTGCTTGCTCTGGAGGAACAGGCTGGGAAGGATGTTACACTGGGGGTGGCGCCCACTGCTGCAGAATCTGGTATGCAGACCGGTCAACCAAAAAGGCAGACCAGACGGAGGCCAAGGCAGAACATACAGCAGGATGATAAGGGTGAATCCAAGCAGGAGAACATAGAGTCAGAAAAGCGAGTCAGACAACGCCCAGCTAGAGTGAGGAAGGACAGCAGAGGAGATGGTGGGGGAGGTTATGAGAGGGGAAAGGGAAAAAGAGGAGAGAACCTGAAGGAAAAGAACCCAGAGGAGGGAGGAGGTGAAGTCCCGTCTCAACGTAAGCTCCCTCTGAGTGTGACCACGGTTTACCTGGGGGGAATCCCTGCCGGGCTGCGTGTGAGCGAGCTGAAAGCTGCCCTGAGGGAGAGGGAGGCCGCCCCGCTGAGGCTCACCTGGCAGGGAGCTCAACACAGGGCCTTCCTGGACTACAGCGACCCCCAGGCTGCAGAGCAGGCCCTGGAGGCCCTGCAGGATCTCAGTCTGAATGGTCACAGTCTGCAGGCTGAGCTGGCCAAGAGCCAGCGGGGAGGGAAGAGGTCCGGACAGTCCAATCGGAGACCGAGACCGTCAACGCCTCCCAAATCCAACCCGGCGACAGCAGATGAGAGTGACACCAATGAAAATGCTGAGCAGTAATGGCAATAAGCAATACTGAGCCCAGAAGTATTAATTGCGGAGCTGCGTGAAAATGCCTTAAGAAGAAATGTTTGTTTTTTTTTATTTTTATTTTTTTTTTATATTTCGGGATTTATTACAACGGTTATTTGAACTGTAAGATATCTAAATTGACGGCTAAGACTAATGGGCTTGAAAAATTTGAGTAGAATATGTGATGGTTGAATCAAAAAGCATTTCACCAAAAAGGTATTTTTTTTTTTTAAAGAATATACCATTTCCCAATACTTAACCACATACCTATGTGCCTTGTTTACTCTCACGCCACCGTCAGTGTGCCCCGAGAACCTTTGGTTTTTGACGGTACTTTTTTAAAATAGTTGACATGTAGTAGACATGCACAAGTTATTTCCTTTAAACTGTACGTACACAGTCTATTCGTTAAAATAGATGTGTAGAGTAGATTGTTAAAATACATTTAATTTCCACAACCAGTTATCAAAGGTGCCTCCGTCAGGAGCGTCTTGTTTTTGAACCGATCTACTTGTTGATCTAAAAGCCATTTACAAAAGTCGTGGGTCAAGGATTAAATGCTTAGTTTTTGTTGCACAATAACGCAACCATGTTGTCATTTAAACCATTTATAGCATCCCGATGGTTCATGAGGCTGGACGCTAGACAATGAATTTAAAAAGAAAAACCTGGTTTAACATCTAGCTCTCCATTAAAGCCAAAGCGGAGTTGATTTATTTTAAAAATACTTTTTTCAACATTCCCACAAATTTAAACTTATTGTTATGCGGTTCGGATTAGAACACCACAAGCGGCGTATAAATGGCCGTCACTTTCAGGACAAATCCACGACTCTGTTGAAAATGTGCGTAATTATCCTTTAAAACGACCTAGGGTTTAGGTCCAAACATCTACTTGATTGTTTGTATATTTGAACTAAGATCTGGATATAGATGCAGACAATGAAGCGCTAAACCTATTTTATTTGAAAACTACATGTGGGGGTCCGTGTAGCCTCGTTGGAGCCATGCTTTTTGATTTCGACTTGCCGTTTCTACCGGCTTATGTTTTGTTCAGGATATTTTGGGAATGGAAATTGTAAATTTGAAGCAGTGTTAATTGTATCTTTGGTTGACAGAAATGACACATTCATGGCTTCCTGTGTGGTTTTGCCAGTTTGCGTATGAAGCCAGGCTCATGTAACAGTTGAGAGATGCTACGATGCCGGCTGAACTGTTCTAGTGTTAATGCATCCGTTTGTAACCTGTTATAACATTTTCCATTGAAGCATTTGACTGTACTGGCTAAGTGTCTTATTTTTCTTTTAACAAAACTTGTCTTACTTTGATGTCGACAAATACTTAAGTGGCGTTACGCCGTTTTGCAGCATTTAAGAAATAGCCTCTGCTTTTTAGAGGCTGGAAGAACCCTGAGCTCCTACATCGTTGTATTGCAGGTGTCAGAGTTCCCCCTCAAACTCCATGATACAGGTTGTACTGAGGAGGCAGTAAGCTAAACTTTTACTCCATTGTGCTTACACAAACCCAAATAATACAAGTTGATTTGACATCACTAATGTAGAGCGAACTTTGGATAATGCATCTACTTGGTGTTTTTGTGAGTAATACATATGTTAGGGTGGGAATTAACTTAATTATTTTGATTCACAGCGCTGTTGCAGAGCACCAGTTTAACTTAATATGAAATCCTAAAAGAATAAAGCGCATGCAATCAGTACTCCAGCCGCGCTCTGGCGCCCTGTGTCTTAACACCAGGTAGCTGCTCACACTGGTGTCCGTCTGCGTTAGAGCAGCGTACGGTTTTCCCTGAGGTCAAGAGCGCACAGCATGTCTGTCCCACCGGAGCAGGCCTCGGGCTTTTTATGGAGCTGTCATCCAGGCCCGGTGAGGGAACAGCTGTGGAGCTCCATCTCACTCTCTGCCCCGCCCGAGCGCTGAACCCCGGCAAATGGCATCAGTTTGTCAAAGAGCTGTTCATCCCCCCCCGCCCCCCCCATACGTGCTCCATGGCGCTGCTCACGTCGGGGTTCAGGCTGTGGTCATGTAGGATTTCGACGTAACTCAAGTATTGACACTCAAAATGGTTACGAACTGAAGCTCCGATGTATGTCGACCGCGTTAAATACAAAGTAAAATGAATAGGAAGACGTCTCACGTTGCAATTCGGTTGCTCGACTGACTGAGCCATGTGGTTGCTCGCTAAAAATACTTCCATGCCGCCATTGTTTTTTATACTTTTGAAGCACCTGTTATTTTCAACTGCACAAACTTCCCTGAAGATAAAATGATTTAATATTCTTAGAAGAGAAACACTTTCTCATTTGTCCATTTGAATAGACGATACCTTGCAGCCAGTGAAATTACATAAAATTGATGTAATATTCGAAGTTGTAAAAGCTAGAGCTTCCACTTGTAGCATTCATTCATATTTCGTGTAACACCCAATTGCAATTTTTATTTTCTTATGTAGATTTTCAAATGTTAGTGCAGCATAATCATCCTTTGAGCAAAATGTTTTACAGGAAAACAACTGACCATGTAGCTGCTGCAGAGCTCGTTCCTTGGTGTCACTATAATTCCAGCTTGCGTAGAAGGCTTAAAGAACTTAACTTACTTTTTTATTTCAAACCCATTTTTAAGTTATTGTTTTATGCAAATTCTGATTCGGTCATTGGATATTGATTTTCATTAACAGGCTTGTCTCAGGTTAGATGAAAGCACACTGCTGAATGGTGAACGTTTGTAGTATTCTGCAGTACTGTTAAACTTGCGCTCATGCTTTAATTTTTAGGCTTCACAGATTAGATGAGAACCACTTAAACGCAGATTCTTTTTTTGATCCGTCGAGGCTTAAAAATGCTCACGTATAAAAAATGTGATGCTTCAGGGTACAAAGCTTCACTTTTTTTAATGTTTTGGTTTGAGTAAAAGTGATGACCAGTTTGAGATTTTTTTTTTTTTTTGTGGATTTAGGCTTAAATAGCCCAACAGATATATTTTATTTCTTACAAAGGATTTGTAATATAGCCCTCATTGGACCCTTGCTAATTTCCCTAACAGTATACACAGTGCTGAAAATAAGTATACATATCTCTAACACAAACAACATAACAGTGCTTACAATATATCCTCAACTTTCATTTTAAAACAACAAGCGTTCTGACAAATATTGCCAATAAAGAATATACCTCCTTGGCTGTTTCGCCTGAAATTAAAATACGTAGGCCTACAGAATAAATAAAAAAGATGCGCTTAGGTTATTCAAAAAGTGCTCTCATCGTTTCGACACAATATATACGGACAAGTTTTATGTGATGTCCATAATTGCCCCTTAAAATTCAACGTTGAAAGTCCAAGAAAAGAAAAAAGAGCCTCCGTCTAATTTGTCAGAGAAAAGAAGTAAAAAAACGTCAGACAGAGAAAATGGACGTGTGCATTTGTACAATGGCCTACTTTAACAAGAAGAATACACATTAACGAAGGTGTGAAGTGGTAGTCATCCGCTCTGCAGGACTAAGTACCAAACAGCAGCAGGGTTTCATACACTGAGTCTTTACCCCGCCGGTCGATGTTGATGGCATGAAAAGTCTTTTTTTTGTTGTTTTGAATATTATTATATATTATTATTACGTCGTTTGCTTGGTGAGTGGCCGGTCTCCGCGGTGTGAAACGGAAAAGTAGTCCGGTCTACGTGAAGCGGGGCCGTGCCTTCATGTCCCTCAGTGGTTATTTACTCGTCTGTTGTCGTTTCTCTCGTTTCACCCCGCTGCGTGGCTCAAGTCTCCCGACACAGGGTGCCCGGGGAGGGGGGGGGGGGGGGATCCCCCCATGACGCAGGGCTTGATGTCCTGGTAGGAGAACTGTTGGTGGTGGTAGTACGCGCTGCTGCTCTGGGAGTGCATCTTTGAAGACGTCATCGCGTTGAACGAGAAGACGAACTCCTTTCGGTCACACATGCTCGGAGACTGGGAATGGTACCGAGGGATACCTATGGAAATGTAAAATACGAGTTAAAATCAATGACAACTCTTTATATGCATGCGTATATATATACACCTTGGTCGAATCAGACTTTGGCGACTTTGACAACTTCCAAGAATGTTGTTTGTAGGTTAAATATCAGAGAAATGATAGAAGATGGTTATACAAGATTGATATTTTAGGATTTAATTGGTCAATTATCCAGGGTTTTCTAAGAAGACTAAATATATACATAATGATAATACTAATAATAATAACAATTTACAGATTCGTGGCAGAAATAGCAATGTAAAATTAAAGGGGGAATCTAATACTCGTGTTTCCCAAGCCACATGTATATTTTTAAATATAAATAATAAATTCCAATATCCAATACTTCCTCGAATACGAATGCGAAATACAATTTGTTGTATATCGCATTATATATATATATATATATATATATATATATATATATATATATATATATATATATATATAGGTTATATATAGATATATATATAGGTTATATATAGATATATATATATATAAAACAAATACAAATTGTATTTCGCATATAAGACATTTATAAAGTATAGTTACCCTGACTCTACATGGCCAGTCCACATTCCCCACAGACTTAGAAGTCCATTAAGCAAGCGAGATTAAGATTGTCCAAAGGGGGGGGGGGTGGGGGCAGGTCTCAGGGCTAATTGTCAGTGACCGTTTCGCACGCCAATCCCGGAGGAGTCGGGATCAGGGCAGCCGGCGCCTGACCGCGCTTGGTTTTCTTGCCCGGAGATTGGCACGCATCTCCACCGGTCCTCCATTCGGTCTTATTTTTTTAATCACTTCCAGGAATTATTTAATTATTGGCCTGACAAAATACGTGGTTTCCTTTAGTTGTATCAATTCCCATAACAAGCTTGAGTTGAATTCTTCTTCCGTTTTTATACAACATAAGATAAAACCGCGTTCCGTGACGTAAACGCCGTGTTTATAAATTTAGGGAAATTAAGGATTTTAGGCCCACATCAGAAGAATATGTGATACTGGCTCAAAGCACATTAAAACCTCGCATCAAATGGTTTGGCATTTATTGATTTTTCTACCTCATATATGACATCTTTCTAACTAATCGTTGCAGTTTTACGCAGCACGTTACAGTTTTTAGAAGCAGATGAATTGATCACGCGGCCTACCTTGTAAATCTGTAGAACTGTGCCCGTTCTGGTGCAGGTAGGACTGGTCTAGTGAATGTGTGGGCAGGCTCGGCTGCAGCGAGTTGGCCCCCGGATTACAAGGAGACAGCGGCTGCTGCTTTATGTAGGAGGCCCCGTTGTTCAGCGAGCCCGAGGGGGCCGGAGCCCACGCCGAGGCTGAGCTCGAGTACACCGGGTGAGGCTCCATGACTCCCCCGCTCGTCAGCAGAGGGGAGGCCGAATTGTCGTGGTGGGGATAATCACTCCCGTTGGATCCCGTACAACTCCCCATGTAGGAATGTCCCCCGTTGGTCGACAAGTGCGACATGGTGTGCCCGGACAGACCCATCCCTTCCATGTTACCCGCCAAGTGTCCATTCATCATCCCGAGCCCGCTGTCCAGGGACAAGCCGTTGGGCGGACACGACAGGCCCCCGCCGCTCCCCTGGAAGTTGTAGGACTCGGGGATGTGGTTGAAACCAAGGCCGTTCATCATGCTGTACATGGGCTTCAGCGCCTGACATTTGCGCCTAAAACCCCGGGGTCTCCTTCTGAAGGAGCCCTCCTCGAACATAAACTCACTGGCCGGGTCGATAGTCCAGTAGTGTCCCTTCCCTGGCCGGCCGAGGCCTTTGGGCAGCTTAATGAAGCACTCGTTCAACGACAAGTTGTGACGCACAGAGTTCTTCCATCCCTGGTAGGAGCCCCTGAAGAACGGGAAGCGGCTCTGCAGGAACTGGTATATTTCACTAAGCGTCAGGCGCTTGGTTGGAGAGCTCTGGATAGCCATGACTATCAGAGCGATGTAGGAATAGGGGGGTTTCTCTGGCCTGCGGATCCCGGCGTTTGTCTTCTTGGTCTTGGTCGTGGAAGAGGCGGTTTCCATCGCGGCCGTGTGTCCGTGCGGCTTCTCCGGGGCAGACATCGGGCTGCTCTGTCCGGGAGTCTGCGCTGAGGGCTGCTGGACCTCTGCCGTCATTAGTTCAATTTTGTCTTCGAAATGGCAAAGGCAAATAGTCGCGTTCCACCGATGTCCGTCTAGAAACACTAGAAGGTTTGGACACTTTTAAAGAGCCAAGGAAAAAAAAAGGTAACCGAATCGACTTAACGAACGAGCCAGACTTTCTTCTTTAAACTCTTCTTCCTTGTGAGTTGAGTCCCGCGGTGGTGTGAAGCCGTGCCGCCTCGTGCGCAGCGTCTGAAACGGGACAAGGAGAAGGAGAAGCAGAACAGGAGCCGCTTTCCACTTCAGTTGGTGTGTCGTCGTGCGTCCGAGGAGCTCACTTTTTACTTATCTGTTGCCATCAGCGCATTGGAAGCTGGATGTCTTGGCCATCCTAATGTAGAGACACGCCCAGTTCCCTCCTACTCCAGCGGTGGGCTGTAAGCATGCACATCTGTGTACTTTTCAGGGAAATGTTTTTTTCCTAACTTTACAATGAAATAAGGAAATATAATGTAGCTATATATGCCAGTAAGCTATATGCACTTGAATGCGACACATCCAAATAGTTAATTATATTATATTAACACATTCTGGTAGCAACACAGGACATTTGAATGCAGATTCTGATTTCTCGTTGTTTTTTTTTAAATGTAAGATATTTGATTTAAATAGTCATTTTATACAATCACAATGCAGAGTATTGATGTAAACTGACTATAGGTGGATAAACCAACCGTGAAACCGGTATCTCTGAAATGAAGGTGCCAAGCTAGAAGCACCAGCGCGGCAAAGAGCTCGTGCTCCTTTGGTATTAAATTCATGAAAGATTTTTTGAAAAATTTTTAGTGAATGAAAAGTATTTACCAGCGGACAGGCCCCTCTAATTCAAAGCCACCCTCTTTATTTTTGTAAAAGATAGACAGGAACATGGGCAGGATGTTTATACAGCAAAATGTAAACATTTTCCCTGACCTTCTTTAAATATAAAATCAAGCAAAAGCCCCGTTAGATCACCTAATACTCATTCTGATGCGATATGTCCGTCTGTGCGGGACGGCCTTCGGTGATGTTGGACGTTTTTGCACATGAATATTGTTTGTATAATGCAGTCATAATATTTACGCAGGGACCCAGGAGGAGTGAGGTGGAAGCTCTGCCGAGCTGTGAGCGCAGAAACTCGGACGGGGGCTTGAGATCAACTGCTGCAGGCACGCAAACCATCGAACGATCCAGGAATGAAGGTATTGGGTTAACAATTCCGAGTTAGAAAATTAGCAGCAGGCCATCTTAATTCAGGGCCACGATAGATGTTTAGTGGGTTTTATGTGACATGTTATCCTACAGAATAATAAGGAAAACGATATGCCTTGGGGATTTTGCCTCAACTGAATTGCAGTTCAATCAGAATCAGATTCGCAACTGTTTGTTTATTTGTTGTGTTCCCGAAAGTGCAGACGCTTGATTTTAGCTCGTTTTACTGCCTTCTGCGCAGCCGTGAGCGATAGAAACGGAGGGACGACCAGTGCATAACCTAAAACTGTTGACAGTAGAATGCTTATTGTTCCCTGGAGAGCTCGATGGCGGCAGCCTGCAACCCCGCGCTTCTCCGTGGGTTCAGTCAGTGGAGCTTGGTGCGCTTCCTGGAGTTACTGTTGCTGTTTGCATTGATGCATTATGAGCACCGCTGGTTGTGACACAATGGAAACGTGCACCGGATGAAATGTGTTTGCGCTGCGCGTTAAAATCCGACTGTGTTTGGAGCGTGGGATGTGCGTAAAGGTCACTAGGACCTCTGCTAATAATATGTCTCTTAAAAATGTCGATTGGCAGCATGTTTATATACGTTAGATCAAATTTCAAGAAATACATTTAAATAATTTTTGATGTATGACTGACATATCAAATATTATATTTATGTTCACCGGATATCGCCGGTCCCTCTTGTTTCAGCCAAGAAAACAATTGATTGTAAAACTCTCATGTTCACCCCAGAGGGGACAGGCGTTCCACTGTTAGTTTTTGCTGTGGCGGAGAAGGTTTAAACGCATGGAGAAATGAATGTAAGTATTGTTTTAACCGATGCCTGCTCGGCCATTCGCTTGGAGTGAGGGCCACACATTTATCAGGGTACGGACCACCCAGCGCGCACCAGGGGCAGGCGCGCTCCCGTCCTCTCTCTCTGCCCACTGCATTTAATTACCGCTGATGACTTCATTCCATTAAGGCATTTTTTTCTCCCTCGCACGCTCATTCCCCCCGCGGCATGTTGTTCTGTCTTTGTTGTCCACAGGCCTACATATATGCCTACCTGCATGTTCATCCAAAGGCTGTATCCGTGGCTGTTTACCACTAGTGTGGAATTGCGTTGCGCCACTGCCCCATAGTTCTTTCACCAATAAAAGTATGCACAATGTGTAGTTTTTTTTTTATCACCTAAGATACTTTTGGAGTTGATTTGTGGCAATACAGTTATCTACCCGATTTTGCAATTATCATGAAGATACAGCAATGTATATCATGTTTTATGCAGCATTCCAGAATATATGTTTTTCACAAAGTCTTGGTGTATTTTTCACGGGAATGGTTGCTGTTACAGCGTCAGTGGGCGATTATGTTCATCATCATGACGCAGGAGTCCCGAGGTCAGCGCTCCCCTGTTGCTCCATCGCAGACGAAGTCGTGCGCTTTTCCATGACGTCCCGTCATGAAATATTTGACAGCGCTGCATCCTCAGGAATGCTTGGCCACTTAGGTGGAGGTACACCGCAGAGTGCACAGGCCCGACAGGCTTTCCAGACCGTCTTACCGTTATTTAGTGCACTGAAACTAATTTTGGACCCCTCAACATGTTTTCTGCAGAAATGTAAACGGTTCTTAGTGATTCGTCGTCTGTGCACTTGTGTACAATGGCACACATCAATATGGCAAATATATGTACATATAATTTAGGCCTTTTTTGCAGGTACACCTGAACACTGTTACTAACCACAATTCGCTTTATCTTGCATTAATAATTGATCATTCTCAGTCAGGTAGTTCTCCCAGACACGACATGTGAGCAAGTCAGGCCGTCAAAACGTCAACATGTTTGCTTATTCATAGCAAATAGTAAAACATTGGGGGGGGGGTTATCCATTCACCAGCTGCAGTCAGTAGTTTAATTTCTTTTGGCTTCAAAGAAACATATTCAGCTGTTCGGGAGACCAGGGACGGTCAAGAGTGGTGCAGATAATCTGAAGTGTCGAACTTGTAAATAAAAGTTTCTTTCCAAACCATCTTAGGAACTTTCCTCGCCAGGCCGCAGAGGGTCACCAAGAGGCCGCAGGGACTTTGTTTGGACCACAGCACGACTCAGCGATCGATCAACTGGCCCTAAATTCCTCCAACTTGAACTTAAATCGGGTGTTGATAAGATTTTTACTGCTTAATTCAACCAGAGCACACAATTTTCCAATTTATTGTTTAACCTCTTCGCATGCAATCGGTGTTAAAACAAGTGACTCGAACTGATCAAGTTTCACGACAAAAAAGTGAACACATTTTTAAAAATATAATTTCAAATAAATGAAATATGGAAAAGACGTCATCCCGTGAAAGTAAACATTAGCAGCAGATTTGACAAAGTTACAAAATGTTCGTTTAATCAGAGGGCCGGCCGATGGTTTGATAGCAAAATTGGATTCTCTGATAATAACATTTTATTTTATTTCATTTTATTCATATCATGTTATGCCAAACCAAAAATAACAATCAATACGGCACAAATTTGCAAATTGTGCAAAAATACTCAACACAAAAATGGTGTAGTTTATAATATAAACACTTTTACATGACTATAGAATTAAAAACTGTAATGTTGACATTTGTTCTTCTATAATGTCCTTCATGATGAAACCATTCGTCGCATCACCTTATTTGGAATGCACATTCACAGTAAAGACCTTTTCTGTGCTTTTACCAGAAAATTTAAAGATGCATCCTAATTGGTTTTGCGCCTCTTCCTCCGCAGTGTCGCCTGTAGCCGCTCCGCATTGTCACTCTAATGGGAAACAGTGTAATGCCGAGGTGCGTACCCCCCCTGTGCACTTTCCCTGCACTGTAGGTGGCCGTGTATATTTTCGTTCGAGTGGTGTTTATGTGAACGAGAAAGGACGGGATTGCTAGCAGACCGCTGATTGCGCGCATTGCGTCTCGTGGATCCGAGGTGTATTTGATGGGCAACACCCTCTCCGGTAATCAGCTGCACGCGATTACTTTTCAATTCTGTCGGCAAGATGCATGTTCATTGGGCTGTTGAGTGCGCGTGCGTGAAGGTGCAAAGAAAAGCCGTCACGTGGTACAGAATATACAGACAAGGTGGATTTCAAAGTGCAATTCGCAAAGTGTTTCTTTTCACAACAATTTTACAGCAATGCCACTTGGAGCTCATTCAAATAAATGCTTTTCAAATGTTTTAGACCTGCAGTTTAGTGTCCTTGTGCACCACACTGCTACTTGGGTCCAACGGATTCAACTGTTACCGACCCACGCGTCACGTGGAAAGCGTCGCGGTTATTTCTCCGCAGTCTCAAAAATGATCAAGAGGATGAGACTATTTTAACATTTGTCACAGCGTCACACGTTACACAAAGATGTACGCCCACCTGTCTGCCTCAGCTACACACACCTGCAGCATCAGCAACATCAATGGCAAGCTATAATTGATTATTGAGAGTTGTCGATTATGTTTCGATATCACGGATATTTCGATGGAATTGTTTCGACAATTAATTGAAGTATTAGTTATTAAATTAATAAGAGGTGCAGAGCTCAAATGTACTTCCGTTGCGAGATAATACAAGTGATAAATGAATGCATTAAGCATTAGGTCACATGTCTTTTGATGTTTTTATTTTTTATTATGGAGCAATTGACACAAAGTATGCTATTTTTATGTAGTTTTAAAAGCTTGACATGCGTCATGGGTATACGCGTTAATTGACATCGTTTTACCGCAATAGTCTCTAGTGTCAAATTAAAGATAGCCCACTCACATAATCAGATTTTCATTTTCTTATTTCACTAGTTTGTTGCATGTCAAATGAATAGAATTCTTTCTTGTTTATTTTGTGATCATAGGCCGCGCCACATAATTTGACATGGAGGAGAGCAGTGGGGAGGGTTTGGCAGGTCAAGGGGTTTTCCAAACTGTCCAAATGTGGTAAACATAGCCATTCTGAATATATCTTTTTAAAGCATACCCGTATTTCAGCAAGCTTTACATGCTATTTGCTGTGTGAAATATGACAAATCAAACACACAAAGCATTAAAAAAATAAAAAAATGAGTTGGACTAAAAGGTGAAAACATGAAGAAAAATGTGCTGCTTAGTTCAGGTTGTTACCTGAACTAAGCAGGACCGTTCACCCTCAATTTACTCAGCAAGAGTAAAAGATTTCAGAACAGTAAAAGTTTCACAATGGATTGGCTGCGTGTTTCTTTCAGGATATTGGTGGGATTGATAAAATGTTGAAGAATTGTCAGCGATCAATTGATAAAATCCAACCATCTCCATCATTGTCACTCTTGTTTGGTCAACAAAATGAATTATATTGACACCAAACCGTTGTAACTGATTGTTACATTTGTTTTTGTTGTCTTCGTTCCACCGTTAGGTTCGTATTTTCAAATCTGTTTAGGGAGGAATGTGCATAAGCAAGTGGAGGTTTTAATATTATAGAAAATATTTAATATAAATCTAATATGTAACAAGGACACTTTTGGATTGTTGAGCATAGACAATATTTTAAGGTATAACTCCATAATTTTCATTATTTACTCCATTATTTTTAGAATTCACTGATTACACTTTAATTAAGTAAAATTCTGTTTAAAAAATGGAATTCACATTTTAGCTATACTTTGAACGGATCTTTAGTCAAATGACCTTTTTTCCTGTTTGCCTTCTGTGTAGCTATTGCTCTACGAAAACTGATATGATCTCTAGTGTTTTATTTTTGGCTAAAGGCCTTTGAAAAATACATTAAAATGTTGCATTAAACCACTTCACCATGCACCCTTTCTTGTGTGGCCTTTCTAGGAAGATTCATTCCCACACAGTGAGTGGGAGTCTGTGTGGTGCCCCGCCCTGCAGCCCTGCAGCCCTGCACACCCGCTCACCCCCCACGGCCAGTCCAACATGGTCTGTCTGATGCAGAGAGAGACATCAATAATAAGAGCTGAAGCAGAAACCACAGCGCAGAACACTAACGGGAGAGGGAGGGCGGACGTTGGATACAACGGGCTCTGCTGCAGGTTAGCTACTTTGATACAGCCTCAATGGCAGTTTGATGGGTGCACATGGGACGGCATGGGTTTATACTTACGTGTTTACATGCACGTTGACATAATATCCATGGTGTTTACGCACAGCCCACTTATGCTTTTTTTTCTTTACTCTGAAGGGGGATTTTCTTGTGGCAAGCTGCTTCGGAAAAAGCAATTAAGAATTCCCAAACAGTACACCACAATGGTAGATATCATTTGTGCAATGTGTGTTCTATGTCCCTAGCAGTTTTAGTCTGGAATGGCTTGGCTATTTTTAATCCGTGCACAACCAAACCCACCTACAGACAAACCGCAAATTGAATGAAGGGGAGGGGGATGCGTGGGCACGGTAATTGCCTATTGTGGAGCTGAAACGTCTCTGTTCTGTCATAAACAGCTCTGGTAGTTCACAACTTGATACCCCGTCCTCCAGTCGGTTTGAAATTAGGGCACATCCTCATCGCATGTGGGAACCCGTAGCCAGGCAGTGGTCGGAATCAGTCAGGAATGCTCTGGGATGGTAACTGGATTCGGTCGTAATGCCCGGCTCTCCACAGTGGAACACTGGGGTGGGAAAAAGGCCGAGAGCATTTCCTGAGTGGAGGGGGGGTCCAAGTGAAGCGTCACATGCACGGGCATCATGTGACGGTGATGCTGCCAGGTTTCAGCCCATGATCCCAAGCGAGGAGAGGAGTGCAGCTGTGGGGGAGCTGTGGTGGTGCTGTGGGCAGTGCCAGGGAACGGGGAGATCACCCTACACTGCTCAGTTTTCTGCATTATTATTTTCCGTCTTTCATTTAAACTGTGATTATGTTTAAGTTGAGCGCCTCTCAGAATATTATAAATAACACCAATGTAAAACTGAAAGCTGAATGAGTCAGTTATTAACACGAAATGTTATATTATATCCCAACAATAACAACAAATGTTAACAGAGTCTAAATAAAATCTTTGTGAAGGATGATGCTCGAAGGGAAAATAGATGACATAACAGGATATTTAAATACGTCTTAGGTACAATACACACGTTTGTCTTTAAAAACTATGTTTTTACAATTGAGGAAGCCAAGATGAAAGTAAAGCTGGTCAGAAGTATCAGAGGACTCTCTCAGCCAATTTGCATGGGCCTTGGATTGTTTAGTTCTTTAAGTTATTCAGGATTTCCCTCGTTGAATGCTTGATGGTCCAATATGACGCTGTCTTTGTGTTTCAATCTGTGAGTTATGATTCTGGGTGGAAAGGATGTTTTCTTTTGCCAAATTGCACTCTTTGGGTGAAAGGAAAAAAAGTAATATTACTGAAAAAAATCGACATGCTTTTGTTCTTTAAAGCACATAACCTGTTCATCATAAACAACAATTCTAAAGAAACTTCAACTGAGCAATTCCATATTTTGGAAAAGAGAACTGTTTTTATTTTTTTATTAACCCAAGTCAGTGAGGGTGTATATAGTTGTTTACATCCTCCCACTATGGGGAGGACTATGGGACTATACTACAACCCCCACCACCTCTGGGAGGAGGAAACACCGGCTTTATATTGCTTTGCCTGTACTTGGTGTCTCCTTTTGCTTGTGTTTTTGTCATTTCAAAGACCAAGGGGACCTCTGACACTTTTGTCCCCCGGGCCCGGTTGTCCCGTTTGGGTAATCAATGCACCTGTCTGTCCGTGTGTACACACGAATGTCTCTGACTGCCTCATGTGTACATGCCGATGAAAACATGCCTTTTAATGTCCGTCTGTGGCCGCATGTGTTCATGCATCAGAGCATATGAGAATATTGCTGACTAGATATTTGTGTGTGTGTGTGTGTGTCTGGCAGCCAGACGTTGCTCCCTTTGGCTTATGTAAATGTTTTGATGATCTTTGGAGGAATTTTACCCTATAGTTGTCAAAGGGATTTTTATTTCCACCTGCTACCGGCCTCTTTCCGCCGGTCTGCTCTATAACAATGGTAGTGGGAAAGCTGTGGAGTGCAAAGTGATTGATGTTGGACTGTATTTGGCCCCTTCTTCAGATTGGGGCCTGAAAGGAAGTGGCCAACCCTCCCTTCCACCCCGACTGCCACGCAACAGCGCCGGGGCTCAAGAGGGCAAAGCGCTGCATTAGGATTTTCTTTTACGTTCCCTTTTTAACAAAGTTGAAAACCTGCCCAAAGGCAAGCGGCAGCTTGTCCACAAGGATTCGTGACTTGTAAATCAATTTGCAGCGAGAAAAAGTAAATTCATGTCCCACAATTTTTCATCCAAGGCCGTCAAGTCTTTTTCTTTTGTTTTCTCGGGAGTAAAAAGAGATACAGGCTCATCGCGGCTGCATTCTTTCCGTTTTGCTGAAGCTCAGCCTGGCAGAGGCGGTAATCTATCACCCAAATTGTCGGCCCTTCTCTCTCCCTATTTCTAACTGTGTTTCTTTTTCTCCTTCCTCCAGGCTGAAGTGGGCAGGCGTGCGGCTTTGGCCGCAGGAAGCTGAGAATTCTTTGGAGAATGGAAGATGTCTTATGGGGAGACATACTGGCCTCCACCCACTCACCATCCAGAAATGACACCTGACCCCTTCATGTGTTTATATCAGATCATGGAAGTGAGAAATTGTGATGAGTCACTCTGGCTGAGTGTTTACACTCCGGAGTCACGCAAGGAAGGAAATCAGCCACGGTCTGCTAGCAGTGGGGAGGTGAGAGAGAATAGCTGCAGTCCCCCTCGGCTGCAGTGATTTACCTCTCAGAGCAGAATTTATTTCACGTCATCTCTGCTGCGAAGATCTCAGACCAACACAAAACAGCAACTTTCTCAGCGCGGTGGAGCGTTGAGGTGAAGGTGGAGAGTGGAAAGTGGAGATATTCACTGACGAAAGGTGGGTTTCAGTTTGCATAAACTATAAAAGTAATATTCGTTGGAAAAGAAAATTAAGTCTTTGGACCCAGCTACTTTCTAATAAAATGTGTCGCTCCTCACAAAATATATCTTTTCACAATCAAAGACTTGAAATGGTGAAGTCACTTGCATGATGACAACAGATTTTCCTGTGTATTTTGTCTTGAAATGTTTTCCGCATTGTTTTTTTCCTCAGCCATGACGGAATTTAATTATACATAAAATTCAATTTTTTCCCCAAATAACAATTGCATTCTTACTTAGATTCTCTTTATTATCCTCGACATACACTAATACTAATTATCAAATAAATGTCCTGAATGAAATTTAAAATAATTCCTTGCAAAAGAACAACATGTAAAATACGTCATCAATCAACTGAAGGTCCCGAAACACCGTAGAAACACCTACCGTAGAAATGATTATGCAGTACTTCATTTTTACTTAACATTTAAAAGATGTCATATCTGACGCTGTATTTCACAAGGACATTAATCCAAATTCTATGATGATCCTTTTTAGTATGTCAGGATGTAAAAAGTCAAGAGAGTCTAGTGAGATCTGTGTTGAAATAAACAATTTCATTAAAAACACCCAACTGCATTTAAGTTTGTAGAAATTCTTTGTTAAAAGAAAATTTTCAACATCTTCATGTCACATCATACAACAACAGCTGATGTGGGTCACTATTCACTTCATGTTCTCAAGAATACAGGATCACAATGTACATGTTCTCCTTGTGCTGTGAGTGATCTTATCCCTGCTGTATCAACCACACTGGATACGTATTGCTTCATGCTGCAGAGGACTTTGTGTTCAACGTACACTGTAAAGCGTGTTTACTGAGGCGCCAACCAGGGTTTCAAACATTGTGTCATTGTCGTCCTCCCGCACACCCGCACACACAACGCCACAACGAGAGAGTCAGCAGGTCTTATGTTGTCCGATCTCTTCTGAATTGTTAGTCCTGTCAGAGGCTTTGATTGATAGCTATGTTCATCAACGTATTATTAAGTAATCAGACCCACCGCAGCGGGGCCTGAAGCTCCTTAATTCAAGCTCAAAGCACACGGCTTCATGCTAATTAAAGGTTTGGCGAAATGGGTGATTTTTGAGAATAAAGAATTCACGGTGTGTATTCTAGAAAATGTAGTACGGCCTTTCACGGTCAGAAAGATTACGGTCAAAATCTAAATCTTTCAATAGTCTGTTTTACGTTGCGGTGGAAGCTGAAAACGAACATCACGGTACAGTAAATCACATCTGTGTGTAGCATGAGAGGTTGAATCGGTCCATGTTCTGTGTATCGGCAGAGGTTTCTTTCTCGCTTCGTTAATAGAGCCCGCGGCGGCCTGCGCTTGTGTATTCCTGAGGTAAACACAGTCATGGCAAAGTGGACGTGCCGCTGAGTGTGTCCTGACTGGAGACAGAGAGCACTGTGGCACTGCAGCGACTGAGACACCGGCAGCTCTCCAGAGCCGGGGCTAATGTGATGAATGGCCGTTTGGTAATGGGCCATGTATTAGGGGCAAAGTAGCTCTTTTAAAAGCCCGAGCTGGAGCCGTTCATATGGGCAATTTGATTCAGGAATCAATCAGGTAGCAGATGTTTCATGTTGCATCAGTCAACTCTGTCTCGCTCTCTCTTTCAACCAGATGAAAGAGGAACTGCTTGAATGACGGCGCGTAGCCGTTAAATGAAAGTGTAAATTCACGCAGTCTAAAACGTCGCTGGGCTTTAAAAAAGTTGATCCTGAATCGAGGTGACAGACGCAGTCACATGCTGAGCGGCAGGAACTCGCATTGGACTGTGTGTCATTGAAGGAACCGCCTCAGTGTCAATCAGTGAGGACACTGTAATGTAAATGTAACAATACTGTGCTTGAGGAACTGCAGTGCTATTTTCTATCTGTTGTGGAAATGATTGGACTCAAGTTGGACCTCTTGTAACATGAATACCTGTTTTTGGGAACAGGGTATTTAGATTTATCCTCAAATTAAAATAAAAGATGTGCGCCAATTTTCAAATATTAGATTTCCAAAAAGGCTTGGATTTGTGTATGTAATAAACAAGGTGCTTTGTGTTATATTGCCTATTACTTTCCTACCGTATCCTCGTTTTTTATACCAACCCTAACGTTTGTTTCTGTTGTTGTGTTAATACGGTCTGCTGCTACATTGTTATGGACCTAAGTTGGAATTGGTTTTACATTTTTATTTCAGTAATAAAGAGTTTGAATTGGTAGTGATACTTATTCTTTCTTGTCTCTCGTCTCTTTCTGGTATACTATAAGTTTGCTTTTCTTTTCAACTTACAGAAAAAGATGCTAAAGTTCAGGTCAACCTCACGTCTCGCTTCTTGCCAAATTCAAGTCAAGAACCACTTAAGGCCCTTAAGATGAATTCCCTGCTTTTCTGTGTTGGTGTTGAGACTCCTATTATAAACACCGCCAGGATACATTCTGCAATATTTACGCTGTTGGTGGTCCTGTTGTTTTCTCCAACAACCTAAAACGTTTATTGATCACTGTTCACGAAGTCTATGTATCTAAATAAGTGGCCGCAACGTCTCTAGGACGATGATAAATAATGACCCGTGTCTGATCTACCGTGGCTATTTGCTGGAGCCCAGTTATCTCGGTTTGACCTGGGCCTGACTACGGCTGGATTTATGTGGGTACATATTGGATTATCAGTCTTTCTTAGGGGGTCATGTGAACCGAGGAGCTCGAGCATGCTTGAAAAAAAAATATCCGTTTGAGTTTCCTCCATCCTGAAAAAAGCAGAGCTGATCAGGGTGTTTACACTTCTGTATTTTATGGCAGGATTTGGACATTTCGTTGGTTTTGTACCACAGAGACGGAAAAAAAAATGAAACTGAATCAAGGCAAAGCAGCAGCCATCACAAACATTGTGTCTTCTCAATAAGTGGATACGCTTCATTGAAGAATGTTTTAGTCAGGGGGAAATAGTTACCAAGCCATTAACCCAGGAGTCCCTGAAGCATTTATCTCCGGTTGGGATGGATTTCACCTCACGCTTACTATCACTTCTGCCCTCAATATTTAACAGTTAGGGACGGACACTCAAGTGGAGAACTTTCAGTGTATCGCCACGGCCATAATGTGTGTGTGGATAACCGAAGGCAGTGCAATGCCATTTCTCTGTGTCCGAACCGCCTTATCACAGGTGTTGGTATGGACAGACAGATGGACAGAGAGACAGACAGCCACATGGTTCCACTTTGACGTTTGCTAATTTCAGGGAATCAATCCTAAATGACACCTATAGGATACACAGAGTGGAATTCCCTCTGATGCAGATTGGTAGTGGTTTGAGGATGAAAGACGGTAAAATAAATAAAGCTGTGGTGAGCAGGCAGAGCTCTTCTGTCCGCACAGTGCGACCATAATGGGATACATACTGACAGGAGGAAAGAAGTGGAGGCCTGCTCCTGTTTTCACCAGGGTTGCCACGGAAACGCCGATGAGCTTTTGCTGCTGGTCCTGAATTTCTGTGTTGAGAAAAATACCTTTTTTATTTTTCACTTTAAAGGGTAACAGAAATATATCTAACAAGTGGAATACTAGTGGTTAGCAGCTCTGTTCCTTGTCACCCACCCTGCTTGCTTGCCGGCCGCTGCTGATACTGTTTTAATCCTAAAACACATTAAATCAAACTCAGCAGTATCAAATGGCTTTTTAACCTCCTCCAATCAATCTTTTCATCAGCTGCCGCGTCTGCGGTCGGCCCGGAGTACGAATATTAATGGTAAGACAATACTGGCTTGTCTCATCCTGGCTGAGAACTTTCATGATACTCCTACAAGTTACACTGACCTCCTATTCCCTGCTGTGCCAGCACAAATTCAACTTCTAAGTTTGCAACATTGGAAGTTTCATTGGAAGCTTTTTAAATTGTTGTTGCAGAAGCTGGCTCGTGGTCCCCCTAGACTTAAAAATAATAATAATAATGTGCCTCTCGTCACTTGGTCGTTTGAGCTCAATTTCCAGGAAGATGTATATGCATACGATGTGTGCAGGTTTGAATACTGCAGCGCAGCTTTTACATTTGTCTGCTGGAGGGAAAAGTACTCTCTTTGAATCAGTTTAAGATGTGTTAAAGACAGCAGGACTTATTTTAAAACCGATCATAGTCCAATATGTAACAAGTTTGATGTGAAATCAACACTCCAGGGTATTTACCTGGGAGGAGGGAGTAGTTGTAATTCTTACCAGTTAATTGGACTTTTTTGTGGAGACAGAACATAATGTGATAATGCTATTCCAGGTAGAGTATTTCAATGCATTTTACCATCTCTAGAGGGGATCTTAACAATGAAAAGTTTAAAGTTGTCCTACAATTGCCCTATTTATTATTCATGAATTAATGCCTGTTAGTATGCGCACAGATGGACTTAATATAAGGCTATTATCAAGGTTTTGTCACTGGTGCCACTGAGGTGATTTATTCAGGTTCTGGTTGACTCCCGTCTGATGCACTTCAACAAATCACTGCCTGAGGTCTGGCTAACCCCACACACCACACTTGTCTCTGACTCCTTCTCTGACCCCATCACATCTCCCTCTGACCGGACAACACAGATATCAGCCGAGGGGCGTTTTCAAAGCTCAAACTGACCACAAGTCAAACCATCGAGCTGCATTTGAGAAACGCAGTCAATTTGACAACTTGTGCAGAACTCGCATGTAAGGCGTTCTATTTACACATTGACTTTAAGGAGCGAAAATAAAAAAAGTACAAACAATACCTGTTTGCCTCGTGGAGCCGTGAGTTTTTGTAATGATTAACGGGGTTTTTGACCACCAGCAGTGCCGTGTGACCCTGGGGCTCAGGGTGATAAGACCTTCATAACTCTACTTTATCCCCCTGCTCATTATCAACCTCAATCCCAGATCTGCCCGGAGCCCTCGGCCTGCCCCGGGGCAGGCTGCTCCCCGCCGCCCCCAGCCCTCTGCTGCCTGAAGATTACTGGGGAGACACGCAGGCTCAGCCCGTCTAAACCCCAAACACTTGACAGCCTCATGCTGTTAACGGCAGGATTAAACATTTTGTAGTACTCACCTGCAAAATAACAGTTGTTTTGGTATGAGTTGCAAAGGGCTTATCTGAGGATAATACAAAAATACACATTTATATCTATAATCTCATTGGCATGTTACTTTTATCCTAATTTATTTAAATTTAAAATCAGAGGATCATACAGATACATTTTGTGGAGTTTCTTTGTATTCTGTCAATGTGCTAAAGCCTGACTATTTTTTATCATATTATGTTATGTTATATTATATTTCGCTTATCCAAAAGTCCTTAAATCAATTTTGTAATAATTGATTTCTTAATTGTGAAAGGTTGAATCATTTCCTGAGCCACGCGTCTGGGCGGACGCTGGACCCACAGGGCCGCTGAGGCGTCGGCTTGTCAGCACGCTGTTGCTCAATCCAAGTCTGGATTTTAGGAGTGAAGCTTATAGAAATAAGTAGCCGGGGCCAAGGAGAGGTGTTATAGTTACACATGAATAAGAGAGCTTTTTAACCTCACGCTGTTTTTCCTGGCCCTCCGTATCTGCTCCAAGGCCACGCATTTTTCATCACGTTCTCAAAACAGTGAACTGTTGTCATTTGTTTAACTTTCATCTTGCTCTAAGAGGTTTTTTATGAAGTGAACAGCCGTCCCATCAGAGGTGCAAGATTGATGTCTTTAACATTAACCAAAGACTTTTTTTGCAATACAGTCGTGTTTGCGTGTTCTTTTGAATAGAAGTTGCATCCTAAATGAAATGGAGGTTTGGGAAGAGTTTCACTTTGTTTTTTAACCTGACCTATACCCAAAACGTATGACATGTCTGATGTCATGTGTCTGTTTGGGTCTGCCTGAGCATTTCCCTCAGCTGCAACACGGCTTGTTTACGCATCCGTGTTTATTGACATGCGAAGGAGTGTTCATGTCAGCATGAATTTGTCTGTTGGTTTGGGTCTGTGTTTGAAAAGTGCTGTGAAAGTTATGATGATGGTCATGACAGTGCCTTGCATACTCTGAGCCTGATAACCAAACCAAAATGTATTAATCTCCTAACAGCCATACCATAATAATGTAACCATGATGTTACATTCGATGTTGTAAAAAACAAATCAAAATCGTAAAAAGGACTTTTTCAAGAAATATTTTATTTTCAATTTTCATACAACATTTTTGTATATCTAGACTGAAGCTATTTCAGTTGACATTGAGTTCTAAAGGCCACAATTATTAGTTTATTTGTAAAAAAAAAGGTTGTTGTGTGATGTTTAAGGTGGACGTAAAAGTCAAAGTGAAAACATTTGACTTGACAATCATCAAGAAAATACTGGTGTGGTTGTAGCTTTTAACATTAATTAATATATTGAGTAGAGTTTTAACAACATTAAGAGGAACAAAGAAACAATTTCTGTAAAGTAGCATTAAAATGAGCATTTTATAAGGCAATATAGGTGGTGTCAGAGCCACGACACAATAACATTAACATAAACTTGGATTTAGGTTAAATGTGAAAGTACAATTAACTGACTCACTGTGGCTGATAACACAGTTGCTCGGTCTCATGCTGCATTTATATTACAACTCAAGGAGACTTGGTCAGTCTGACAGAGATACATTTGTGTAATTCAAGCAGGCTTCTTAATAGAGCTCGACAAGGGGGACGTATAGAGCAGAGTAATACCCTGGGCAACATTTCTGCTTTTTGGCCTAAAACAATCACACAGTCCCTGGTGGCGTACGCATGCGAGTCGGACCCCACACAGCGCTGAGCCTCTTCCGGTCCAATCCCCTTCACACTCTTCAATCTTCCCTTCCTCCACATACTCTAGAAACCCCAAACTCTGCACCCGGACCCCCCCCCCCCCTCCATAATTTCCCCCCTCCTGTTCTCCTCTTATTTTTCGCCCTCTTCAGCGAGCCGTGTTGCAGGCAACCGTTAAAGGATATTGGGAAATAGCTGTAAAATGATTCCGTTTGCTGACCTTTTCCACATGCATGCGTTTTGTGTGCCAGTGAGTGCATGTGTGAGAGTGAGGAGGGACGCACAAAGAAGGGGGAGGAGGCGTTTACATTTTTTGTTTTAATTTACCAATTGGCTCTTAACCAGGGGGTCAAAGGTTGGCTTAGCACAACAGCTTTGACAAGATAAGCACCTGTTTCTCTGCTGGAGGAGTCAGGAGTTATCCTATTACCCTCGATATGTAA